GCTTTTATGCGGCGCCTCTATTAAGGAAATCCACACTGCTGCTACTTTCAGAATTCAATAGGCAGACTGCTGAGCCCAGATTTACTGCCAGCAGCAGCAGCACACTGGCTCAATTTCCATGTATATGATTAAGCTTTTACGATTCTTTGTGTCTTAATGCACATCAGGGAGTGTTTAACGCATATGAGATCAGTCGGATGCTGAAATGCTTCTCTTGTTTTATTTTTCTAGAGCCTGCGGCTGATCCTCGCTCAGCCTTCCCCTGCAGTGGTGGTGAAAGTCAAGCTCTTGCTAGACTCAAACATTATTTCTGGGACACTGTGAGTACAACTTCATCACAAACATCACTAGTAACTGCTTATAAAATGGCAAAGGAAACTCATGGTGATGGATTATCTTCTAGGTGTAATGAATATATGTTGTCTGTTTGCAGAATGCTGTTGCAGCTTACAAGGAGACTCGTAATGGATTGATTGGTGCGGATTATTCCACTAAATTTGCACCCTGGTGAGTGTTACTGTGTCATTTCCTCCACTGCTGAATGCTTACTACAGTTTGATGTTCCAATCCTATAAATACATCACTAACGGTCCTCCTGGCATTCTGCAGGCTGGCAATGGGTTGCATTTCACCCAGGTATATTTATCATCAGATCCAGCAGTATGAGAGGGAGCGGACAGCCAATCAGAGCACATACTGGTGAGTCTGGAGTTAGAAATGACTGGAATACTTTGATGAGTGAGATACAAAACAATAGAAATAACATTTATTCTATCATAGACAACTATTTAGTCACAAATAACACAAATGTTTCTGTCTTTCAGGGTCATTTTTGAGCTTTTGTGGAGGGATTACTTCAAGTTTGTAGGCGCCAAGTATGGAAACAGACTGTTTCAGATCAAAGGTAAAATAAGCTCAAGTCTTCAGCTAATTTTTACACGATATTAATGAATGTAAATTCATGGTGATTTTATCTCAGGACTTCAAGACAAATCCATCCCATGGAAAAAGGACAGGAAGCTTTTCGATGCGTGGAAAGGTTTGCACCATTTCTTCCTCATTGTTCGATAAATATTCTCTCATAAAAGTAAATTTAAAAGGTGTGTGTATCAGTATGTGCAAATATGTATGATTTGTAATCACAGAGGGACGGACAGGAGTGCCCTTCGTGGATGCCAACATGAGAGAGCTGGCTCTGACGGGCTTCATGTCCAACAGGGGGCGGCAAAATGTTGCTAGCTTCCTCACCAAGGACCTGGGCCTAGACTGGAGGATGGGAGCTGAGTGGTTTGAATCCCTTCTGGTAAGTGGGTTTTAACTTTTGAAAAGTGAAATGGTGTATATTAAGGGCATAATTAATAAAGCAATATATTATTTCATAATGGAGATGGTGTGAAATATTTAGCCTTTACATACTTACCCCTTTTCTTTTCATTGAAATATGATCAACCTCAAGTCAACCAAGTGCCTCATCCTCTTCATTTTAAATTTTTCCCTTAAAGATTGACCATGATGTCTGCAGCAACTACGGCAACTGGCTTTACAGCGCTGGCATAGGAAATGACCCCAGAGAGAACAGGAAGTTCAACATGATCAAGCAAGGCCTCGACTACGACAACAATGTATGTTTGTGAAGATGCATGAACTGTTAGTTTCACTTCCCTTTGACTTTTATCTGGCCATTGTTAAGACTACAACACAAAATGTCTGAGTCACACTTTGTGTTTAATATTGCTGTTACATAGTGGTGATGAAACCAGGCTGCGATATGGAATTAATTGATTTATTACTTGGTTACCTAACCATGCGTCTGCTTTAGGGTGACTATGTGCGGCAGTGGGTTCCTGAGCTGCAGGGGATCAGGGGAGCAGACGTGCACACGCCGTGGACCCTCAGCACTGCTTCACTGTCACATGCTCGAGTGTCTCTTGGTGAGACCTACCCCACCCCCATCGTCATGGCGCCTGAATGGAGCAGACACGTTAACAAGAAGCCGGTGGGTGTTGGAGAAAAGGGAAGTGGAAAGTATGAATTAGTGCTGATGTTGTGATAGCTATTATATGTTGCACTTCTTATTCCACTACATTTATCAAACAGATAAATGACATGTTAATTTTCAGGTCAACATTTGACCTGAAACAATCTAAGATACGCCTGCAAAATACAAAGTATTGTTAAATATTAAACCAGTGGTTCCCAAACCTTTCTTGACAGCTACCTCTTACAAAAAATCAGTGTGTGTGTGGTTGGGTTTGTAAGTTGATGGTAGTTCCACCAAAGAGATTTCCCCGTTAAACTTCTCAAATGTTTTAATTTAAAGACTTGTTGAATGTCTAAAAAGGTCATGACCCCTCAGATTTATCTTGTGACCTTTTGGAAGGATCCCTAATTGATAAATGACACATTGATGAATCAATCAACAGTCTAATGATACTGTACATTAGCTGCTTTTCTGCATAAGGAATACTTGTACATTTGATGCTTAAAGTATATTTTGCAGATACCACTTCTTTAACTTTAATAAGGTCTGATTTTGAATGCAGGATTTAACTTGTAATAGACATTTTTACAGTAAAGTATCGGCACGTCTGCTAAAGTAAAGGATTTTAATACTCTTTGTACCACTGGCAAACAAGAGCACTTAAAGCTGTGGTCAGCAGTTTTATTTTGGCATCAGTGGACAATATTTCCCCCAAAGAACTTTGAGCATTATGTAATTCAAGTTGTCTTGGAGATCACTGGCTCTGTTTTCAGGCTTTAGAAAATCTAGCTCGTGACGGGAGACTTTGGCCAGTCACAGGTCGTTTCAAAGAGAGTGTTTCCTATTGACTGTTCCACAAATGCAGATGCATGTGCATCTGGGCATTTCTTCAGATGGTCAAAGCCTGATGCAGTGGAGGAGAATCCTGCAGTGGAAGTTGCTATTTCAATTGGCAATAACTGCCTATACTGCAAAGAAACCTGAAAAAGGAAAGATGGACTAATCAGAAAGAGAGTCTGGCAATACGCGGACCAAAATATGTGTCAATATCAGCAAAGCGTTTCAGAGATGGAGAGAAAATGTTGCTAATACAAATCACAGCATGTCCTCTGCCTCAGTCCCTGCTGCTACAGACCAGCTCGCCGGGAGGAGAGCAGGCAGCAGCTCCTGAGACGGATCCTCAGTCAGCAGCTGCAGCAACTTGAATTCAGCTGGCATCTGGGGAATGGACAGCTCCGACTTTCCCAATCTGTTGCTGTCCTTACACAGTTTGCCCATGAAGGGTTAGATCTGGTGCTGCTGCTGGTCAGCGGCCCACTATAACTGCTGATTTCAAGCCACTACAGCCGCCATCTGAAGGTCCATCCCTGAAGCTTCTGCCCGCCCCCCCTCCTGTCACATTTGTGGTCTGATAAACCGAGAGAGAGACAAACACTGACAGCTGACTCATATGAACATTGGCAGGTCTCACCGTTCCACGATAGACTACAACTACCAAGTAGAACAGCAATGCGCTATTGATTTACCTCACTCAACACTTAACACTCAAATAAGTGGCTGTGTCTCGCACAATACAAATAATCGCTAACCATCACATGTCGGTTATTATTAAGTTAAACGACAGTCGAGCCATTAAAAAGCTTGGTGTTGGATGTTAGCCGCTGCTGCTAATTAGCTCATGCTAACATGCTGGAGACGGTCCTTCAGCATTGCGTCTAACCTGTGTTGCACAGTCGGAGATCAGACCCTTGGCGCAATCCTGTTGTTTTCCTCTGGAATTGTGAAAGATGTCCACACCGCGACATGTTTTGCCCTCTAGACAGCGTGCTGCAGTTCTTCTTCTTCTTCTGTTAACTGGCAGCACACAAACCTAGTTTAAAGCTACATGTACCACCACACACTGTGTCAGGTGCGTAGATGCTGCCCTTGTTAAGTAAATGAAAGCAGTCTGGTGCTATTTAATGTCACACTATTTAGCTGCTCGATATATCGTGCATCCCGAGTGGAGGGTGTATTTTTAAATTCTGTTGCTTATATGTTTACCCTTTACAAAAACTGCCTACCCCAGCTTTATTGTTCTTATTCTACTCTAAATGAAAAAAGTTGCCTCACTGTTTTATTTTGCAAAATCACCGTAAATGTTTGATTCCTTTAATTCCCAGAGTGGCGCAGGGCCTTCATCCAGAGGAAGGAAGGGCCCGTCTCACACTCCCAAACAACACCGGGACAGAGGCATCGACTTCTATTTCTCCAGAAGCAAAAACCTGTAGTGTTTGCTTTGAGGCCATCAAACATGAGGACAGAGGCTCAGAGGATGGACGCTCCAGTGATGCAAACTCAGACTGTTGCTGTAAAATCTGTGTCGTGCACTGACGCACTGATTGAGGGAAGTTGCCGGATGAGGATTTGAGGAAATGGATGTTCTTACTTTTGCTTGAATATTTGAAATAGTCTGATGTACGTGCGTGCCATCAGTTCTCGAAATGTATCCGCCTTGTGAAGCACCTTTTATGGGCTGGTTTCCTGTCAGACTGCAGCTACTGTGAAAGCCACACTGTGGTTTTCAGTTTTAGTGCTGTGGATCTGTAGCTGCAGTTAGACATTTTTGACATTTTCATAGGGGGGCTTTTTGTGTTTGAGTTTTTGTTGTGTGATTTTTGTTATGTAATGCATTAAATTAAAAACACTTGACATCGTGATTTCAGTTATTTATTATACTGTCAGAGGAAGGGGGTCGAGCTGAGCTTGCCAGAGCAGTTATGAATCTAGATATGAAAGGAGAACAGAAACACATTATTAACCAACTCTTTTTTTACACCAATATTTTCTTGTGGTGCCAACTGCTGCAAGGTAGTCACATATGTCTAAAAAATGATTTCGTTTCTGGTCAGCAAAGCGTTAATGCCAGTAAAACAGTACCTGTAGTTTTGTGGAAGTGCACTAATGTGGCTGGTGTGAGGAGGTAAACAGTGAAGACAACCCTCCTCCTCCATGTGACGTAGCCCGCAGGATTTTGCATCACTTCCTTGTTCTGTTATCAAGCGAAGTGTGGGACAACTCAGTAATCAAAAGTCACGCAGACTTTCGCTGTAATGTTTTTGTATGTTTAACTCTCTGTCGTCTCCGGAAACTCTCCGACATGGCGTGTAAGGACCCAGAAGTGGACTTGTGGACGGTTCCTCTCGTCGCCCTGAATGTGCGCGTGAGGAAACAGCTGGGACTGTACCTTAACCCCAGGAGCACTGTGGCCCCGGACTGGATGGCTGTAGCGGAGGCCATGGGCTGCACTTACCTGGAGATAAAGAACTATGAGTCGTGTGTAAACCCCACCAAGGCGGTGCTGGAGGACTGGCAGGCCCGCTGCTCGGACGCCACGGTGGGGAAGCTGCTGTCGATACTGTCAGACGAAGTGGAGAGGAAAGACATAGTGGAGGATCTGCGTCCTCTGATAGGTGCGTGTGTGTCTTTAAAGACGTGTTTTTAAATGCTTATCTCCTAGTATAAGTGCACAGTATGACAATATGTGTAGCCTAAGCCTGTTTTATCGCCTGCCCAGCACCTGTGAACTCCAGGAGGTGATTCACATGCCTGAATTCCCTCATTGCAAAAAGTAAAACACATATTTAGGAGTTTACTGTGTGAAGAAATACCTGCTTCAATATATGTAATGGGCTTTACAGCTAAATGTGTACTCATAGTACTTTTCCAAATGATTCAGTCCACTTCCTGTAACATCTCCCTCCACTGACTGTATGCAAACTTGTGTTATGTGCCCAATGTGTGTGTGTGTGTGTGTGTGTGTGTGTGTGTGTCATCAGATGAGGATGTCAGGAAGTATCTTGACAACCAGAAGAAGAAGGCCGAGCCCCCACTTCAGGTCCCAGAGGTGGACAGCTGCCTCCCTCGCACCCCAGAGAGGTTCGGTATCACCCTGGAGGACGACCCCGAGGGTCAGTGTTTGTTTAAGTTTTATTTTTGTTTCCATTATCATCACAAAAAAAAAAGAAAATCCAAACAAAACTTGCAGTCCAACATTATTGCATCACTTGAATTTAATTTTATTTATAAAGCCCAATATCACAAATCACAGTTTGCCTCAGAGGGCTTTACAGCATACGACATCCCTCTGTCCTTGGACCCTTACAGCGGATAAAGACATGTTAAAGCACCTGTAATAAAGAGTCACCAGTTAACCTACATATCTTTGGAGGGAGGAAGCCAGAGTACCCACAGTAAACCCACACTGACACAGGGGAGACATGCCAACTCCACACAGAGGGCTCCCCCAACCAGAAACCCTCTTGTTGTGAGGCAGCATTGCTAACCACTGTGCAAACACACAATTTAATGTTCCTGAATAAGGTCACTTTGCATGATAAGTACTTTAAAGGAGCTGTATATGACACTCAGAGCATTAATACAGCAGCCAAAACTATTTGCTATGTAAAGATATAGTGAAGTAACGGCATCCTGAGCAGATAATAAAGTCACGCTACCTCTGTGTGTGCTGTAACCTGGGCGTCTCTGTTTGTTGTTGAGGTAGACGGTCCAGTGGTGCGTGCATGTTAGCGCATGTGAGTCATTGTGTGTGTATCCCAGTGGCTAGTTAATCGCCGCCACTCTGCATTGCATTCATGTGGCGGTTAACACTGATATCAAAGCAAAGCACCTATTGTTTATGGTAGCCGTAACGTTTTTTTGGTATCACGTGGAGTTGTCAGGCAGATAAAAATCTCAGCTTGGTGGGAAATATGCCACACAATTAATAATATCATCCGTAGCATTTTCAGTAGCCTCCTATTTTGTGACCTATATGATATGTTGCCAAGACAACTCAAGTATAAACTTGTGTTATGCAGACCAGATTGTTTGATATTAATCACCAACAGATCTATTTATCCTCTGAAGCCGTACAGTGTGTACCTGCCTCTTCAGAGCATACACCACATCCTCAGTGGTGTCGGTCTTCCTCTTAATGTGCCTGGTGTGATTAGGTGATAGCATCATGTATCAAGTTCTCCAGAAAGTCCTTGAACACACCGTGGGTCTCTTTGCTTGTAGAACAGATCAGAGACACGCTTCACTCCACTACGGCAAGCCAGATAGTGGATAGCGAGCTTTGTGATTACGTGTCAGCACTGTTGCTGTTTTTAATGCTGTTGGCGCTGTTAGCACCGTTAGTTGCTAGCCACCGGCTCAGCCACCTCCATGTTGAGAACCGTGTGCAGACAGTCAGACTCTGAAACATTAGATCTGCTCTGAATGTTTAATACAGCTCTAACTATTGATACTTAAAGTAACAAATCACATTCAGTGTGTTACGCTGCACTTTGAACTCTTGTATTTGAATAAACAAGCTGAAATGCATGTTATGATTAATTTATGAGCTAAAAGTTGGTGTACATATATTGCGCCTGACTTGTTAGAGGGCGAGTGCACAGCTGTCGTCTGTTCAACACCAAGAGAACAGATTATAAGTTTGCATAAATGCATATCGGATGAAATGAGTGATAACAGAAAGCTTCAATATTAGAAATACTTATTTTAAGGTTACCAACAATCAAAAGCTTTTACTGTTCTTTAACTTTTTCCATGCTACCTGTCATGTTCAGCGGACATACCCCCTAACTGTCATGTGGTGGCAAAAATATTATGACCCTGTAGTGCGGTTACATTATATTAGCATTTGCTCAAGTAAGACATGAGATAATGATAGCAGCATTTTCTGTGGTAAGGCATTACACAGGAAAAGCTTCATCTCGCCTACTAATCTGACAAGTTATCTAAAGCTCTAATCGCTCAAGGCTGTACTGCTGCACCGTTCCTGTGCACAGTCTTGAAGTTTCCTAATCACGCCCATGTTTTGCTTCTGTGGAATATATTTCACTTCTGATGAACACTACTCCCCCCCCCCCCGCCCCCCCCCCCCCCCCCCCCCCCCCCCCCCAAATTTTATTGTGTGTATATTTTGTTCTGGGTCGCATGCAGTTATGCAATAGTGGCTTTATAGGGATAAATAAAGTTATTGACTTGAATCTAACTGAATCCAGGTGCCCCTGAGCTGTTTGATGCCTTCATCTGCTACTGCCAGAGCGACTTTGAGTTTGTCCACGAGATGATCCGCGAGCTGGAGCAGACGGAGTGCAGGCTGAAGCTGTGTGTGTTCGACAGAGACGTCCTCCCGGGCTCCTGTGTGTGGACCATCACGAGTGAACTCATTGAGAAGAGGTGGGATATCGACATGTGTTAATCATGTCTGGGTCTATTCTGTTGCTTTGGCCTGTAAGAACAAACATGGCAGCCAGAGCACGCACGCTTTGCATGACCCTGTGCTTTTCAGGTATTGCTGGAATGCGCACGAACTCTGTTTTTATTTATTTATTTTTTCAGTCTTTTTATTGGTATTTTAAGTCATACAAAATGGACTAAATCACAGATACAACAGGAAAAATACAATATACCCCCCAACAGAGCCCCATCCTCACTGTACCATTCACCAATCAGACAGAATCAACCACATAAACAATTACAAGTACATGTAAATAAATTAATTGTGACAAAAATCATAGTTGAGACACACAATAAATGTAAAAAGTGCAACAGACAATTAAAATAACATTTAAATAATAAATTAAAATGATAAAAATATAATAATAAAATGAAAAATATGTATAATTAAAATAATACATAAATCAATTTAAAGATGAGTAGTAAGTACTATCTATTATAGGGTCACTTCATAAGACTGCAATATCAGTGGTGTGCATATTTTTCTATACTGGTTAAAAAGGGTGGTCAGGTAACATAAAATTTCTGAGCACGCCCTCTTGTTGAATAGCTAATTATCTCTAAAGTCAGATGGTTTGTAAGGTCTTTAATCTTGAACTTAAAGGTTGGAGAAAATTGTTCCTTCCATTTCAGCAGTATGAGTCAGATTTTTAGATTTAGATTTTTGTTGTTTTGTTTTGTTGTAGTTACTCAGATGCAAAGACCAGAGAATTATAAGAAATAAGAGTATATAAATATAAAGCAATAAAATAAAATGGAAATGAACATGTACATTAAAATAAAAATAAAAAAATAGAATGTGCATTATGTTACAGTGTTAAACTACTAAAGATATAAAAATATTAAAAAATAAAATATATATTGCCTCTGTGCTGAGGCTGTAAGTGTGACATTTAACTACAATATATACCTTAATAGAATAAACAAGAATAAAATAAAAGTGACCTTAAAGAAATATGTGCAGTTATGTGCATGATAAAGCTGTAAAATACTGCAGCAGTAGCATAACAGTACCAGAACTGTATTCTGGTGCAGCACAGACTAATGTTTGTAGGCACAGGATGTGAACCAGGCCTGCTGTTGATTAACAGTTAACAAATATATTCTAATAGACTGTATGAGAACATAGAGAGAAAAGACATGAAAGGTTCAGTTGTGGCAGAAAGCTTAACCTTGTTATTAACGGTTTCATTTTAAATTAAGATCTAAAAAGCAGGCCGAGAGCAAGATATCTGCGTTCTTTGTCTGAAAATCTCCCTAAATATGGCGTGACCTTATGTGCAGGTGTAAGCGGATGGTGGTGGTGGTTTCTGATGAATACCTCGACAGCGACGCCTGTGACTTTCAGACCAAGTTTGCTCTCAGCCTCTGTCCCGGTAAGCAACATTTTTGTCATGTAAAACAGCTCTATCATTCTTTTTCCACCGTAATGCCGGCGCATGCACGTAGCTTACCTTTTTATTCTCTGTGCTGTTTCAGGAGCTCGAAATAAACGGCTTATTCCAGTGAAATACAAGCCAATGACAAAGCCGTTCCCCAGCATCTTGCGCTTCCTCACCATATGCGACTACACCAAGCCTTTGACACAGAGCTGGTTCTGGGTACGGCTGGCCAAGGCGCTCTCGCTGCCGTAACCAAGGACCAGGCAGTTAATGGAGTTTTTAAACGTGCCTTTTTATTCCATCAAAGGGGATTTTGGACGATGGCCAAACATCACAGGTTGAAGTGCTGTTGCTTGTGATCTACATCCTGCTGGCTTCTGACTGCACTCATCAGTTACTGTGTGTATACAGTATATATTATAGTGCTTCTGTATGTGTTTCTTGATTTGTATATTGTCACTATGAAAGTCAAGCTGCACAAAGATATCAGCAAAGTTCTCACTTTACACAGCCATTATTATGTCAGAACAAGAATAACACAAGTTGTGCCTGGCGCTGTTTTGTATTTATGTGAGGTATATTGCAGAGGAGGATGTGTTTGTATTTGGGGCAGCATTTACCAAATGCTCAGTGAAGGTTCTGTGGAGTTTTTTCTTGTGCTGGCCACTTCCTCTTGTGAGTCGACTTCTACAAGAGATTGGAGCTGAAGAGGAAGAGATGTTGTGATTATTCCACTTGTTAATTTTTTACTGACTGCCTTTCTCTGTCACTTTCTCTGTCTGTCACCACAATGTCTTTATATATGATTTTGTACTTTTGATGTGGTCTTTTTTAGAGCTGTTTTATAAAGTGAATTAATTCTACCTTTGATAAATGGTCTGTATTTTATTTTCTCAAAATAAATTTTCACACATTTGTCATGTGCAGTTTTATTTTTATTTAAAAAAGGATTTGTACAGTCATGAAATGTATAGTATGTTCAGGTGTTGTCCAGAGTGTGTCGCATTTGTGCAAAGTCCTGCAGGTTATGAAATTAACCAACAGAGGTGTCACTAATTGAATGCTGCAAAGAGGAACTGTTATGGCTTAGTGCACAGTTAAATGAGCATCCAATCACAGAGTAGCATATGCGGTGCTGTCCAATCAGAGAGCAGGATGTTCCTGGAGCGACACGCCCCTTTTCACAATCTAATTGTGAGTGATTCTGTTCCCTGAGTATTGCGTGTCAGGCTGCACTTCACAGCCTATTAAATACCTTAATGTGCTCCAGAAATGAAACTGTTTATTGATAGTGCTATGTGCTGATGTTAGCACAGAATTATGTGTATATATTTTTCCTTCAAAAACTTTATTTATATTAAAAAGATAGGCTATACAACCATTTTCATACAAGGAAACAACAGCATGCCAGAGGTATTAATAGTCCTTTCACAATTAGTTAACTGACAATTCAGTGTGTACTTCCTTTAAAATACTGAAAGTCTTAATGGATTTTTTATTCTTGTTTTCATCTCTTTGTGAGGTGCCTTACTGTTTGAGTTCAACAATAAACTGATGAAAGCAGGGTTTGGAATCAGACCACATCAATTTGTGGAGATGGAATTTACTAAAAATGACCAGAAGCTGAATAATACCGGTAATATTTCTATCCACCCTATAGAACACAAAATATAACATCACATCAAACACATTAAAATGTATATTAGAGTCAATTTTCCTATCTATAAAGTATTGCACATCTGTCCAAAATACAATTGAATGATCATAGTGAAAGAATAAATTAAATATTGTGTCTCAATCTGAATTACAAAAGCATATTAAATCTATATTTAGCTAAATCTTTCAAAAAAAAAAATCGCAGCTGGGTACATTCAATCTAACATTTTAAAGGATACTTTTTTTTAAACTTCATTATCAATACAATATTTAAAAAAAGGTAGGGAAGGTCATGCATTTTAAGCTGGTCACTTAGGGAGGCTCAAGTAAAAATATTTGTAGCTTTAAGGAGGGTGAATTTTTTTATTTTTAATATGACAGTAACATATCATTTTTGTTTACCAACAACATTTCATAATCAAACCATGAGCAATAAAAAAGTGATTTATTTTTGTATATAACATCCTTATTATTCTAGATAAAGGGGCAACTAAAATATTTTTATATCAATTGTTTTTATATGGTAAAACTGTTTTTATAGCCAATAGCCAAGCTAAAAGGGCTTGCCACAATAGTTAGCTAATTTATTCATTTATATTTTATTTATGTGTAATATCAATGTATTTTTTTCTTCTTATTATTCATATTTTAATAATTACATTTCAACAAAATTATTTGTTTATTTATTTATTTACGGTTGCAGTGTGAGAAGAAGGAATGCCTGCAAGGCCTGACTCCGGGCATAAAAGTAGTAGGAAAGGTTTCAACAGCCCGCCATTAAAAGTGTGGCGGAACGGTTAACGGCTCGTTTCCTTCCGGCACGTTTTACCTAATATTATTTCCTGCAGTGCTTGTTTTACCCAGAAAGTAAAATTCAGACAAATAATTACGTGTAAAAGATATAAAGCTAAAGGTTGTGTGTAGCTGACGTTTTAAACCGCCACCCCTGCGTCTTCAGTAACTACAGTGAGTCCGGGGCACAGTGCGGTCTAACCGCCCACACTCAACATGTCCGCCGCGAAGGTCCACATTAGCTCAGTAGGAATGCGGTAGGCGGGGCTGCTACGCTCGTGTCAAACTTTGGGAATGACAGGAGTGCTGCAGGATTCGCAAAGAAGGGGAAGTGTCGCCCTTGTTGGTCCTGTTTGGATTACTTTGACTTCTTTTTACGCACAGTCTTTGGATTCACGACCTTTCTACAGATAGCACGGCCTCAGCACACTCCTCAGCCATGTCGGAGGACCTGAGCTCCCAACCCTGGTCCATCAACAAAGATGATTATGAGCTACACGAGGTGATTGGTATGTGATCCTTAGCTTGTTAGCTTCGCGTAACGTTATGTGTTAACCGACAGTCTGAGAGATTCTGCGGCTAGCTTCGTAAAAAGGGGGCTTATCACGGCTAGCTAATATCTTCCAAGTGTAAAGCGAGCAGAAGGCATCTTCTTTCCCTGGAGCTCGGTTAACTTCATCCTTTTGGCAACTTGGCAATCCTAGCCGGGCGGTGTTTGTGAGTCAGTGGAATGTTTCCAGTGAGAGCGGTTACCCCGTCCGCTGGGGCTATGCCGAAGTCGTAAACGAGCGTTATAACGTTAGTCTAGTCAGGCACTGACTATTTGCTGGAAATACATGCTTTCATTAAGAAGTCGGTTATTTATGTGAACAGCTAGCTTAACAATTTCTTATACACTCTGGATAGAGGGCGTCGTATCTATTAAATTTTAATAATATTCACTATATCTCATTTACATTTGCCAGCTTTGGTATATCAGACTAAATCCAACCTGCTGGGTAGCTTTAAAGCAGAAGTGACATTACATATAACACACTTACAACGTTATATTTTCATTTGGGGAACACATTAGTTACATTGCAAATGCTAAAGCAAAGTACCAGCTACGTAACGTTACTGTAGGTGATAAACTTTTATACTGTCCCTGTGTTCACACCCATTCCCATTAAAATACACTGGATATTCAAGTACAGAACTTCTTCCAAAACACTAGTGTTGCCAATGCAGAGTCCAGAGATTATACCTCACGGTCCTTCCCAGAGTAGGGTATTGTTTTGGGCAATTTACTGCCTGAATTAATCCAGTTATGCGAGAGCTCTTTGGAGAGGATTAATCAGTATTAAATGGCTTCTACCCACGTCTCTCGCAGAAAATGGGAAAAGTCATTTGATAATTTGCTGAGTAACATCATCAGTAATACTTAATTCAAACCAGTCTGCACTGAACCTCCAACCATGTTAGTTTTTGCACAATGATTGCTTTGTTTGCATGGCCACATTTCCTCCAGTGTGACAGGAGGTATAACACCTTTCCTTTGCAGTGTCAAGCCCTCAGCCAGTCCTCAGGATGGCTTACAGGTTGGCAGGTCTGAGGAATGACAGCTTTACTGTTGAGGCCTTGAAATGTTGCCACCCCGTAAAGACCCGACCCTGTTCTACCTTTGGCCGACTTTGTTTCGGAGCAAGGAGGAGAATAAGAAGGAGTGTGTAACACATAAGTAAAGTATTGTCCTCTCAAATCAGCTAGTTTGTGCCTCTGGTTTACTTTACCTAAGTGGTGCTGGCTTCCTCTACAGGGAATCTGTGTGTTTATAGAGGGTCCATTCTGCAGGCCCTTAATTAACCATTTTGTATATTTTTAAAAGTCCTGGATTTAACTTTAAACCATTTCTACATTTTCAGTTTTTTGTAAAATTTGATCTGGAGCACCGTACAAGATAACGCCCTGCAATTTATAAAGCCCCTCTTGTATAGAAACCAATTCTGTGGCATTTTCCGACTCAGTGTTTGACACAAGTTGTCAGCATAGGTTTGAAGCTGGTCAGGCTATTTCAAGCTCTGGCTGTGGCATGCTGAGGGCAAGGGGTTATGATTATCAATTTAGCCGTGGAAATGAATTGTGCACTCAGCCCGGCCTCTTCCCCTTGTTTTATAAATTGCTGAAAACTGATTACCAGTTGTGCTTTAAATCTGAAGCAGTTGGTCAACCTTGTATATCATCTAAATTAGCCGAACCCTCTGTGTGAGGTTGTGTTCCCAGGCTCCTCGTGAACACAAGTTGAACAAGAACACTCCTCCTGTTTGGCATCTGTGTCTGTTCATATTAAACCTTGCAAACAGTCCTGTGGAGTTCTCTCTCTCTGTGCTTAGAGTCTTTGCTTGATCACCTTCTGAGCTTTAGGTCTAAGTTGTTGCAGTTTTCTCTTTCAGGCCTCCTTCTATATCAGTGATTGGTTTCTTCCAATTACTTAACATGTTTAGATGATGAGGAGTTATTGGCTTTTACTCTAAATGAAGATACTGTGTAGAGCTGTAGCTGTTGTGTAGACTGGGGACTGCACTGAATCAGAGTCTCTTCCTGACATCGTTTTCCTCAGGTTACCATCTTGACATTTGCCATCACGTTTTCCCAAAACATATATGCCCTCCTAAATCGCAGCAGAGAATTGAACTACTTTGAAACAACCCTAAGATAGAAGCTTCAAGAGGGAGAAATTGCTTGAGCTGCAAAGCCAGCAGTGTGGTCAATGTTTGGATGGCATATTCTCGAGGTTGCACAACAGTCAGGGGTGGGCTGTGTTGGTGTTTTGGAGTGTGTGTTTGGGGAGGAGGGTGGGTAAACACAAATGCTGTATTGAGTGCTTTAAATTACGACTAATTCCGCTACTGTTTGTATTAGGAAGTTGATATAAATAGGCTTTTTAATTTAGATCTTTCTTTGATCGTGTCTCTCTGTCATTACTTGCAGTGGTACTGATGTTTTAACTGCTTATGGCATCAACAATTGAATAAAATAGTAGGTTTTAATGTGATAGTTTTTCTCACAGTCAGTTAATATCCCACCAAAATACAGCATGTTAGTACAGTATGTTCACACACTTGTATTAAGTTGTGATTTAAGGCCCTCAGTGCAAGAAGTCCACATATAAGATGTATTAAAAACACAAAAGCCACAAAAGGTTTTTTTATCACATACGACAAAAGGAAGCTGAAAACAGGACATATTTGGCATTTTACTTCAAATAACGACCATAACTATAAACTATTTTTTATCAAAATAGTTGCTGATTATTTCTCTCTTGATGGACTCATCATTAGATCGACTGATTAGCTCTACTTGCAGTATTTAAAACTTCAACAGGTAACCTTTCGCTGAGCTAAACTACTACAACAAGCTCCCAGACCCCAACTCACCTCTAACAGAAACTACTGTTGGGGAGACAGTCTAAGATGTTGCCTCCAGATCTTCTGCTCAGCTGGAAGGTTGGTGTTCGGAGGATGGCCCTGCATACCCAGCATGCCCAGCAGAGCTATTGTTTTGGTAACTTCCCCAGGGGAAGAGGACATGTTATTACACAGTTCACACCCATTCATTTCACCGCACTGAGCATTGGATTATACTGGACAGAGCCCGTAGGAAAAAAAAAAAGCACCACAGCTTGCTTTCTCATTCTGGATCAAACTTTGGATCATTCATATTGGCAAATGTGGACTGGAAACTTTCTGCTCCCACTGTTTGTATCCACGGGCAACCATGTTTCCTCCCTGCTGCTTGTCGTGTCCCTCTGATGGGTTTAAAAAGCTTCAATATGTTTATGTTCCGGGAAACTTCTAACAGTTGCGAGCAACCCCGAGGATAACATTTATCTAGCTTAATGTCAGCTTCAAAGTTGGGCCAGATTAGTTTTTATTACACTGCACCCTGCGGTATCATGTGTGACATTTCTCATTGTACCTTTGAATAATGTGTGGAATGTCAGCCAGGTATGCAGAGGAAATGTAATAAAAGGTGGCTGACGGTGAGGGCAGGAAAGGCAAACTGGGAGCTGCTGCCACTCTGCTCGTGACCAACTCCATTAGGAAGCTAATTCAAGGCTGAGCTAATCTGATAAGATATTATTGTGCTGGATACTATGTACTTTCTTGTGGGTAAGAAAAATGAACTAGAACAGTGACTCATCTGTCTCCGTACCTAGTGAAATATTTTCACTTTTTCATGAGGCAAACTTTGGCTCAATATTGTGAGGTATCATTTATTTGGAGTCCACACCTCATGAGTAACAGCTCTTTAATGAAACCTTGAGATTTAAATTGCTTCTTGGTATTTTAATGGTCTTTGAGCCGCTTTAATGATTTTAATTATAATGCTGTTGCTTTGTCTGCATCCTAGATAAGCTTATTATGCCGTTTACTATTCCTTTGTGTTTTGCTATCTTGATTATGTAACAAACAGACTTTATACAGATGCACCATAATAGGAGGACTGCAAACATTCTATATTCGTATGTCATATCCTTTTAAGAGCAAACATGTCAGCTTGCGGGTGAATGGCAAGCCCTCACTGGAGTATTTAGGGTTAAACAGATAAGTCCATTGTGACGAAAAAACTCTTGCATGTCCCATTCACACATTGCCAGCTTATAGTATAATGCGTATAAGGCTTCTCATGCAAAGCTGGATTTGTTTTGAGGAAACATGCTTACAGACAACAGGTGCTACTTTCTCAAAGATCATGATTGTTTTGTCAATTTCTCCCCCACAAGAGGGAAAGAGAAAAGTTGTCTCACCCTGTCTGCAACTTCTTTCGCTATCTAAAGTACCTCTGCATTTAGAGCTGTAACAGATTGTCGCACATATAGAGTGAACGTTCAAGCAAAATGTGTGGAAAGACAATAAAGCACAAATTGCAGAGTGAAACTTGCAGCTAAACGTGTTTTAGAAGTCGGAAAAATTCTCACAGTAAATTGAGGTCTTGGTATTTGTAAAGCTCACAACCATATCAGTTAAGAAAACTGAGATCTGAGATCAGAGATCAGTGCTAACTCTTGAATAATTGCTGGGATAATTTTAAATGTTAAGTACCGGGAACAGAAAAGGAATCCTCTGCAGAGCATGTGCTTTTTAGAGGTTTTCTTGACATGTTTTGGGTTTATTTTGGCTTCTGACACACACAAAAGAAAATAAGAGCAGCTGCATACTGTAATTAGTTAGATATTTTTTCCCTGGGTTTTTTTTTTGTCTTAAAATGTTAACAACACTAGGAAATATGAAATGGAAATAAGATGCAAACAAAGACAAGAAATCAACAAGCCTAAAAGGCGCGCATATCTTAGTATCCCTCAGCTACGTCAAAACGCCACATTTTCAGCTGGCAGCTGGATCATCTTCATTTGATTTTGCCTAATTTGGTAACTTAATATATAGATTTGATTTAGCCGTCCACTTCCAAAACAAGTTGAATCTTGTTGCTGGGCCGCAAGAAATAGAGAATATTGACAGATGGAGTTTTTTTTATCTGTCTTTGTAAAGAGCTGACCCCTGCTCTGTTTGTAATCTGATCATTTTTAAGTAATTTACAAAAGAGAAAAAAAGAAATACCTACTGTTTGAAATGCAGCCTTGATGTCTGCGCCAAACTGTTAAGCAAATTAGATGTTGGCCTTACTTTTTAAAAGCCGTGTGTGGATGGCTCTTTTGTGTTCCTCACATTCAGATGGACAGGGCGGTGATGATGTTGATGTGACTGTGTATGGCTTATTTTATAAGTTCATCATAATATAAGTAAACAATATACAGCTTTGATTAAAACATCAAAGAACCCCTGAGGTATTTGATATGTAACTGGATACAAATGGTTGAGACATGACCACTCTGAGCAGAATAACCTTGTGCTAAGCTTGGAAATAGCAAATATCAAAGAGCATCAGGTCTATATTAACTCAAGGTCCCAACTGGCTGCTCGATTGGGCTTCTTTAGTCTAACTGTCCAGCACAACCTTGGTGCCCCCTGACCTTGCCTGCTGCAAACCCAACAATTTCCTCCCTTTTCACCCCCCTACGCCCTCCCCAACACACACATACGAGCACACATGCTCTCCAGCTTGTCCAGCCACCCCTGACGACTGGCTGTTTGTTTGTGTGGAGGAATTTACACTCCAATGTGTACAGGGTAACTGGCTCCCTGTGGTCAAGCCAGGGCTGAGCTCCCTATCACTGGCCAGCCTCCAGAGGTTTGTTTGGTATTGGTGGTGGAGGTAGAGGTGGTGGTGGTGGTTGGAGGGGGACTGAAGGATATATTTACAGCCCTGGTCAGCCCCTTAGTTTTGAGCAATGGCTGAGTGAGCTGTGATCACTTTGGATGCTGAAGAGTTGAGCAAGGCCAGCAACACATTATTAGAGGTTGCCAGTCAATAGATGGCACCCACTACAGCTGTAGAAAGTAGGCTTTCACACGCAGCATATTCATGGTGATTAAGGTGGCTGTTACTGTCTGTCAGTTACAGGAAATTACAAGGAGTTTGGTGTTTAAAGCTTCTTGCGTATGACGTCATACCTTGGTGTGCTGTCTAGATGGAGGGCAAGCAACTGGAGGCAGCAACTACCAACGCTGCACAAATACCTATGATTTGAGCTGTTTATAGCTGTTCCAGTTGATTGGTCCTTAAGAAGTCTTAAAATGTCTTAATTTCAATGTTGCAACAGTCATTATATAGTCTTAAATTTGACATTTGTGAGGTCTTAACTGCTACAAACATTTGATCTAATTTTCATTTATGCATCTTTTGATTTGTTTTCATGAAAATGAGTGAGGCTTTTCTATATAAAAGTCCAAATTTCTAATGTTACAAACCTTTTGAAAACTATAATACTGTCATTTTACTTCATACATGCACTTACCTGTTGGCAAAATGTTATGAAATCTTACTGTATTAACCATATTCCTACATAACCTCTGCGCGAGACCCCATATATACGACTTGCCTGCAATGCTTACCTGCGATGCTTTAATCAGTGAAACATGATTTTTTCCAAAATTCTGTCCTAAATTTGGTTAAAAGTTGTCTTGAAAGGGTCTTAAAAAGCAATAATTTGAACTGTCTGATACCTGTAGACACCCTGTTTGACTCCCAAAAACAGTAATATGTAAAGGGGTGAAGTACAAATAAAAATAACCTCAGAGAAATGACGTCAGACGTGGATCAAAAACTTTCGGCCCAAGTCTGGAGGAATGGGTTCAACTAACATGAAATGTAAACATTTACAATAAAGCCTTGAGTTAAACATGTCTTGAGTGCCATGTAATTACCATGTGTCATGACAAGTCCTCTATAATTTTGGCAACAACCCCAGGTTTTTTATGGCGTTTAACCAGCCCAGTTGAACGAGGAGAGTGGTTTTCAAACTTTTTTTAATAACTTACCGCCTTTTGAAATGTTTTATCTGTCAATTTGGCTATCCCCTGACCAGAACAAAACATTTTTGGTTGAAAGGGAACAAACAAACTTGATTACGATGATTGCATTAAAAATAGGAATATTAAATACATAAAATGAGGTCTCTCAAACATACATTTTCACTTGCTCCACTTATAGTATAATTAATTTCGGAATCATGCATGACTGATATTTTTTAAATTTACTTTTACAAAACCCTCATGTGCCCCCTGCAGTACTCCAAAGTACCCCTAGGAACACCCGACCCGCTAGTTAGTTAGCTAGTAGCCTGATGCTAGCAGTGTATCCATGTACAGAGTTGAAATATAAAAGACGGTAATGCTCAAGCGCAAGCAGTTTTAATACTACCTTGGTTCCGAGGTCATGGACCCAACAGCACACAAAATAGTCTATGTAGTCCTCTAGACTCTTGTACGCTTTCTTTTGGCTTGCAGTGTTGTAGGAGGTCTGAAGGATGAGGTCGTTTTCAATGATGATCGCGTCCACACAGGGCAAATAGGTCTTCATTTTGTATGAATCGCATCCAATATGAATTTCAATTTCTGACGATACTTGTTGTGTACAGGTTCATCTAACCCTTTGAATTTCAGGTCATTGTAGTCATGTGACTGCAAACAAACTCTCGCATTATAAAAAGTAAGAGCTTGTGATTAAACTCAGTCTCAGCTATGTTGAATAGTGTTATGCTGTTTCATTCTCTGCTTCTCTCACACAGCCTGAAGTCATAATTATCTTGAATGAAAACAGTTAAATAAAAAGCGGTCACGTCTTCAGGGACAACTTTACTTTTTAATTAAATTCAGGGAAATGTTTTTTTTTCTTCAATGTAGCCATTTTTAAAACCCTCCCTACACCACTGGCTCAATGAAAACTCCAAACAATGAGCACTTTGTTAATATTTGGGCATAGCTAAGATGAGGGCACAGGAGGTTAGGAAAAGCTTACTGGAGGGCGGACCGACTCACCGCTCGCTCTTTCACTCACCAAAGCCTGTTGCCAGAGGACAATGTGCTCCCAGCATTGCTCAGCATCACGTATACTCCAGAGGTCTTGTGGAAACAGTCGTGTGCGTGCATGGCGTTAAATAAGAGCATTGAGGGGGCAGTGAAGTGACCTCACACGAAACAGGAACAACAGGCGCACCTCTCCTGGGGAGGATATTACAAGCTTTTATCTGACTATCACACATTATTCAAAATAAAGATTAGCCCTCTGTTGTAGGATTTAAGCTTTAATCAGATTGTAATCTATGTGTTGTTTGCTTGTACATTAAAATAGTAGTTAGGGTGTTATCAACTAGACTTCTCAGTCATGCTGTGATCCAACTTTTAGACCAGGTGGCATGGAAAACTTGGGAAGATTTAAAGTGTCCGAGTATTGAAACGTTCGTAAAATTCACATATGGAAAACTGATTAGCAACATTGTTCCTTTATTCACACAACTGTAGGAGGAGGCCACATGCACTTTGCTACATATATTAGGTGTGTATGTGGCAGATAAACCTTTGGATCCTTGAATCCTCCTATTTTTAGAGCTACCTCTGGATCGTGGCATTTGGTGCTGTAAAGAAAAACCGCCAGTTTTCAATGAACAGTGAACAAAATCTTCAGACTGTGCCAAGGATATGAAAAGGGAAATGTCTAAACTGTATAAGAATCAGGCTTTGGTCTTCTCTGGCATAAACCTCCCACCGACGCCTCCCGGGGGATGTCTCGTTTAGCAGAGTCACCGGCCCCAATCAGTCCCGCTTCATCAGGCGGGATTTGGGAAAGCTGATTCATAATTGATGAAGAGACAGTTAAGCTGTGCCAAAGAGAAATCGGATGAACTGTCAAAGCAGAACTCCGCGTAACCTTGTTGAACTCTGGAGGATTTTGAAGTAAGGATAAAAGTTAGGCTTATTTTCTTACAGTAGCCATTATTTTTTGGATGTAGACAGGGGTTAGGGAAAAGGCAAACAATTAAAAGAAGCCCGGACAGCCTGAGGATGTAACTAAAATGAATGTAGTGTATGTGCCAAAGTTGGGTTCTACTGTACAACAGCACTGACAGTCTTGTATTTCTAATATCACTACTGTTTGGCTATAGTGAATCATAATTAAGGTGTTTTTTTTCCTGTGTGTTTTAGGGAGTGGGGCCACAGCAGTGGTTCAGGCAGCCTACTGTTTACCACGCAAGGAAAAGGTGGCCATCAAACGCATCAATCTCGAGAAGTGCCAGACTAGTATGGACGAACTTCTGGTAAGACGCACACACAACTCTGCGAGTAAATGCATATTAGATTAAAAGTCCAGCTGAAATTGAATTGCATATTTTTTTTGTCTGCTACAGCCAATCAAATCTTGAATACAGTAGTAACATAATAAGTAGAGCTGACGCTTACAGTGAGTCAGACAGCAGCCTGCTACTCCGCACAAGACCCACAGACTCTTTCCTGCAAAAGTCTCCTTCTTATCTTACTTACAAACATGAACATGCGTCTTGTCCTGCACCTTGTTGAACGAGCACCCAAGCAAACATTCAGTGGGTGAAAGTGCACTGCTAACGTCAGTTTTCAGGCTAGAATGCTAATTATATTAGCTGCTCAGCTGCAGCACATTAACCAGCCTGTTAACGTACCTTTTTAATGTCACTTTGGTTGAGTGAGATGCTGGTTTGGTCCTCACTTTTCAATACCCATATCAACATGCTGTCCGCTGATGACATGCAGGCTACAGCGCAAGTTTATTTACTCTGTCTCTCGTACCCCGCTGTGTAACACTGGCAGTCTGGCAGCTTGCCAGCTGCTGTCAATCAAACACCGACACGCCCCTCAAGCCGGCCAAAACGGAAAATGAGCATTCCTGATATTTCCCCAAAGACTTTTTTCCTTTTAAATAATAAGAAATGCAGAATAATAGACTTAAAAAACACGTTGGCTTTATTTTAGCCTCAAAAAGGGATGACTAAATGTGATTTCAGTAGACTTTGGAACATTTTCATGACCTTACTACTTTTTATGCGTGATCAAAGGGAGTTATAACCTCGCAGCACGAGATTTCATTTAGGGCTTTGTCTCTGTTGTCTGTGCGTGTGGATGGAGTTAGTTCCACCTCTGCTTTTCATTACTCGTTTTCTCCAAACCCTCCCTCCAATCATCTCTGTCACTTCAAACACTATTCTGGTTGTTCTCTGCAGAAGGACTCCACTTACTGCCAGGAAACTATTAGACCACCGTGGGACATCTTCCTGCAGACCGTATGATGTCTTTATACCCCAATGCAATCTCGTACCCGAGCTCAGCACATCATTTACTGTGTGACATGCGGTTTACGACTGAGCTCAAGAAGTGGTGGGATTATATCAAACGCCCCTGCACATACAGATGATTAGGTGCTCGTTTGTGGCTTGTGTTCTGGGTTTGGAGAGTTTTTTATGCACAATATGTATTTGTCAAACAGTTGAGAAAGATGTCACAATACATGGCCTGGGGAAACCTGCCTGGTAGCTGGCCTTTATTTTTTGCACCATATACACCAGATGTCAGGTTTTTGTCTGACACTGGGAAATGCGCTGCTGTTAACTTAGACCAGAAGTGTGATTGATGGATTTTTCCAGTCCTTGCTCCTAGCTGTCATCCAAAAGTTTGTGAAAGTAACCTGTGGGAAATAAATATTGTGTAAGCCTATACATGTTCATGGAAGATTATGGCCAGAGATCACTGGCAGATTTCTCACTACTCGCTGGCAATACTATACCGAGGAAGAACCCCCCCCCCCCACCACCACCACCACCACCACCCCACCCCCCACCCCCGATTTCTGGAGGATGAATCAGGGGAATGCTGCTCCGGGATTCTCGGAGCAGGCGGTCACATGGAATACAGCGAGGTCAGATTTCCTGCCAGTGGCCCCCCCACCCCTCCAATTCCACAGCCTGCTGGGTACCCGGTTAAGCAGCGAGGAAGCATTAAATTGAACCCAGATCACTTCCCTAAAGTAGCAGCTTTTAAAGAGGATGCAAAGAGTTTTAAAGAAGCCGTTCTTAAAGCTCACCTGTTAAATTCTGTAATGTCAGGAAAGTAACAATCTGTCATGTCTGTCATGTCTTTATATGCAGTGGTATGTTGTAGTTATTCCTGGCACAGCAGTTTGATGGACAGGCACTTTTGAGTGATTGGAGCTGGATGTGGAGGAGGTTTGTTTACAACTTGCATGCATTGCAGTTTGAATATCCTCTTGCATAATTACACAATTGTTACGACTGTTGGCTTTAATTATTCATTGATACTTATGAGAGAAATTATGAGTGCTCCTATGTGGTTATGGCTTATTCACAACACAGTACCAATCGATTTTTGGCTTGAAATCACTATAAAACACCTTCAGATCACAGCGACCTGATAAACATATTGGGTGTGTTTTGGTAAAAGTAGTTATTTATGGTAAAGGAACACTGAAGCACGCTAAAGGAAGTGATTCAGAGGCATATTCGTGCTCTCGGCATAAACATGAACGTTTTGTCAGTTTCCTCATCAATTGCAGATCGGCAGTGTCTCCATTCTTCAGTAGTTTATTGCGTGTGTGTAGATGTGTGCGTGCTGCAGTGAGATTGGGTCATACTGGAAGTGTGTGTTAGGCTCTGAGTAACTGATAATGACGTAACATTGCTTCTATAGTGGCCTCTCTGTGTGTCTGCCATCAGTGTGATTCTGTGGCACCAGTTTGTGACCCAGCACTGTATTCAGTTTGTGACAATAGGTCATTTATTTTTTTGCTCAGTTTCAAGGTCCTCCGACACGCCAAATACTGCAAAGATCAGGCCTAATACAGAAAAAGCTGTGGGTATGGTGTGGTCTATTGCCTGAGGAATCTGTATGGAAACCTACTGAAGGGATTTAGTGTTTAGCTTGGATCTTGAAGGGCTTTAACATGAATTTATAGACCCATAACAAAATAGAATAGGCCAGTCCCAGTTCTGCTTAATACATAAACCAAAGTGACATCAGTCATGTCTCAATGAATGGCCTATTTTACTCAGGCTTTGTAGAAAAAACAGTAATTTGTATTGACATGTCAGAGAGATATCAGACAAAGGTTACTGACTCTATAAACCAATGTGATTTCCATTAGGGAGAGAAAGATCGTTTTATTAGATGGGTGGAATGAGGGGATGGATGTCTGGTCTGATGTTATTGATCTGAATTTTCCGCCTGCAGTCTGCCTGCTGGTCCTCGGCAAAAAAGATGAAGTTAAGATTGAGAGAAAATATGTCAACCTTTTGGCATGTATTGTTTAACAGGTGTATGTATTGCCTGGGTTTTGGCCTTCGAATCCGCCGACTCCACTGAGTTGACAGATTCATCTGGCATCATGGCATGAAACAACAGGTTTGTCAGTTAATAAAGCAATTGATCAAATGAGTGCAGTGCGGGGAGTAACGATTAGCCAATCACTGCTATGGACAGGACTAATGCTGTTGTTAAGATGTGTACCAGAACAAAGGAGGAGGGATAACAACAATGGCCACCGCTATAGACAAGATAGATGCTACTATTGAGGCTGTTGGATTAAAATAAACAACGTGTTTTCTTAATACTGTACAACATCGTGGTTTATTTTGGTGCTCTGCTCCACTCTTCAACCTCAGGCAAAAACAGTATGTTGGCATGGCTACGCATCAGTGTCGATTTAAAATAAGATTAGATTGAGGTGGATTCATTGGTCTCCAGTGACTGGTCAGAGTGGATGCAGTGTCAGACTGAAGATAGCAACAGAGTTGACAGTTCTTTCTAAACAAAACTAACAAACAAAAACTAATTTTATTGTACTATAAAATATATTCCTTGTCAGTTTCTTATTCATAGGCTAATTTGTTGATTGACTTCTGACAAAATAACGATATTCAAATGCTATGTGTTGAACAACAAACCAAGAATAGTAGCATAGCATTCAGAACATTGCCTTGATTTTTATGCCTCTGCACCGGCGATACCTGTGGCCAGAGGCATCATGTTTTTTGGTCGTCCGTCCATCCCATTATCGTGAATGTGATATCTCAAGAATGCCTTTTGAGAATTTGGCATAAATGTCTACTTGGATTATCAATGAACTGATTAGATTTTGGTAGTCATAGGCCAAAGGTCAAGGTCACTGTGAACCTGTCTCATTCTCAAGAACGTGATATCTCAAGAATGCCTTGATTTTTTTTTTTTTTTTTTTTTTTCATATTTGGCACCAATGTCCACTTTGAGTTGAGGATTAACTGATTAGATTTTGGTAGTCAAAGGTCAAGGTCACTATATCCTTGTATCATTCTCGGGAACACGATATCTCAACACCTTGAGGGAGTGTCATCAAATTTTGCACAAACATTCACTTTGAGCCATGGATGATTTATTTAGTGGTTGCTAGTTAAAAGCCAAGGTCACTGTGATCTCGTCCATCACATACTTGTGAACGTGGTATCTCAAGAACATCTTAAGGGAATTTCCTCAAATTTGGCACAACCGTCCACTTGGACTCAGGAATGAACTGATCAGAATTTGGTGGTCGGAAGTCAAAGGTCAAGGTCACTGTGACCTCACAAAACATGTTTTTGGCCATAACTCAAGAATTCATATGCTAATCATGACAAAATTTTACACAAATGTCTAATAGGATACTAATTTCCTGCAGAAACACTTCTTTAGCCATTACTCAACATCATAACTCGGGAACAGGAGAGATTTTTTTTTTTTTTTTTGGGTGCCCACCTTGAAACTTTGCTGATCGTATAGATCTTCTGTGTGAAGCATCCATGTCTGTGAAAACATGGATACTGTAAACTGTAAATAAACTGTAACTGCAACTTGATGGGGTCGTGGAGGCATACATTGACAAAGCGATAATTCTAGTTTTCTTTTGGGGCTTAACTGTTCATAAAAAAAAAAATTAGGGCTGCCCCCTGAAAGTCGGAGACTTCAATCATCAGTCAGAGACTTCTCAGTCGTCTGAGAGTGCTTTAAGTCGTATTTTTCTGCTAGTCGGTTTGCTGTGCAGTGTACTTCTAGGGACGTTTGGTCCCCAGTTTTTGCTATGGGGTGTGGGCTCTTGACTTTCACGCTAGTCTGTGATACAGAGAGCTGCGGACACAATGCAGCGGCCTGGAGGAGGAGAGGCTTCACACAATAAAGCTCTGAGATAATTTTTTCTTCTCTCTTCTGCTTAGAAGTGGTGAAATTACAGCGCACTGCAACTTAATGCGACCCACAGTTTCTGGCTTTTGTTTAAAATCTAGTGTCTGCAAAATATGTTGTCGTGCATTTCCGATCTGTCCTTAATGCAGGTAACTTTTTTCACTATTAGTACGGTGAATGCTGCTGTTACTGTGAGCATCCTGCTGAGCCCGTTCAAACTTTAAAACTTCCTGGAAGAAGAAAAAAAAAAGGGCGAATATTCATATTGAACAGCCAAATCTGATTTGACTGACAAAATCTGAGACGGGTGTAGCCCTGAAAAAATTCCTCTGATAGATGTTACAGTATACAGCTAACTCATGCAGAAGTAGTGTTGAGGGAGAAATATACTATGCTAATTGTATGCAGCTTATGAGTGTAACACAGATGGTCATTATGAAAAAATCACTTTACAATGATGTCCCACACAGGTTACCCTAAGTGTTTCATCTGCTGCTGTCATCAAAATTTTATCATGAGAGAGTGAAAGCGTTTGTGTTGGTGGAGGCTTTGTGTATAGTGGCAGACAGGTGTGTCGCCTGTGGTTTGCAGGTTGGATTGTTTGAATGAAACTGCCCTAAATGTCTTGTGTATTAGGATGAGGTCATTGCAGCAACCAGACACAAAAGCCAAAACAAAGACTGGGAGGAGTATTTCTCTGTGTCTGTTCATAGCTGTGTCATCATGCAGAAATACTGTTAAATGTCTTTGTTTTCCAGTCAGCACCGAGATATCCTGCAAAAATATTTTCACAAAGCAAAATTTCATTTAATGTCAAAGGTTTTACACTGAAGGTTAGGCAGAAAGAAGTAATGTGAATGGCTTTGAGCGGTGAGAACATTTCCACTGTCTTTGCCGCAGCATAGGTTTACAGTGACCTAATCCCCACAACAAAGAGTCTCTCTGATTCGCACATTGTCTGCTGGAAAAGATGGGAAAACCTGCCAACTGCCAGAGCACGATATCCTCCCTGTTATCCTATTGTTTTTCTTTTCTGGGGTTACCCTGGCCCACAGAGCTGTGATGACCTTCCTCTTCCACTGTGCTGAGAACAGAGGGGGGTTAGGCTCCAGTGAAGCCAGTTAGCAGCCAACAGGCTATATCATTATTGTTCTCTCTCAGCCTGTAGTATCCAGAGAAAGAATGATAGGGGAGACGACCCACAGAGCTCACCGTCTGGCCCGACAGACTGGAAGTTATTAGACTGCTTGATAATCAAAAACGGCTTTAGTTGGGAAGCAGAGTGGTGTGTAGGCTCACCTGTTGGTCAAAAGGTTGTTGCTGCTCAATCTGAATGAAACCTCAGTGCTCTGAAAATCTTTGACTGACACTATTGTCCTCTACATATCTGTGTGCATTTAAACATGTCTATACTTGTCATAGTCCAATGACTGTTTCACGCACAGTCTGTATCCACCCTATTATGACTCAGTTCATGCTCTTAACCCTCTTTTGTCAAGTGCTTTCTAAATGGCATCATGATGTCACCTGCCTCTCTCGGCAAAGGCACTCAGTGAAGGCCATGGGCTCGATAGTGATGACTCTGCAGCGGAGGCATACTGCTGCTAATGCACATTGTGTAAGCTAAGCATTTATGCTGATGGAACATCAGGCTTACGGTTTGACCCACAAGCATCTATTGATTAATGCCTTTAACAAATGTTTTCAGCAGCGGTGTTAAGGTTCCTCAGTTAACAGGCTTGTGGCGCACCTGTCATGGTGCAACACTCAAAAGCTGTTTTGAATAACACTCTGAAATTTTGGGAAATATGGTAGTTTGTGGTAAAATCCATAATTAGATGATGAGGACAGTATTGATTTCACCTCAGTGCATCCAGTACAGAGATACTGCAGATCTGGCACATGTTTAGTACAGCTTAGCACAAAGACTGGGAAAAGGAGGGAAATACACAATAAGATGTAATGTCTAAACACACCCTGGACGTCTTTGTACTTGGCACAAATAGGGGAATTTGACATTGATCACTACTTAGATATGGGTAGGATGTCAAATGATTGTATTTTCTCCAGTGCTTTACTTAACTTTAAATGTAAAATGTGTTCCTGTGGAAGGTTGCTGTTGTACTTTATACTCTGCGTGATAACCTTTTACGTCACTAAGCAAGGATGTCAGTGACATTCAATTTACTAATCTATTAATCGACTCATTCTTTCAACTCTTAGTTAGACTATATTTGAGTTTTCAATAAAATTGTGCTTCTCAGTTTGATTAATGGTACTACTTTTTTTCCTGAATGTAGCACCTAGGGCTGGGTATCTGTACTTGTTACCCAGTTCGACCAGAATAACTCAGCACCAAGTAGTATCGAAACATCTCTAGTCAAACGATACCTGCTACTGACCCTTTTTGCACAAAGGGTCTGATCTCTACACCGTCCCGACTCCCCGCTGGATCAGCAAACTTTCTGTTGCTGCCATCTCTGCCATTGTCCTCCTGATGTCAACTGAAATGAAAATTAAGAAAGAGGTGTTCAGGTGGACAGCTACATATTCCCGTCCTGTTTTTTCAACAGCTACCTGACGTCATTTCAAAACCCCAAATGCATGCAACTGAAATTTACCAGTAAACAAGGTCACTCGCTAATCCAAGACTTCGGTTACCATGAGCTAACACAGCAGCAGCAGCTAACATCCAAAACCCCAAGCATTTAAATGATCCTAGCAAACTCACACTGACACCGAAACGTCTCGACTCTGTCGTTAAAAACCTTTATTACCTTTAGGTAACTTTAGCTGCATGATGCTAACAGTTAGCCGTGTTGCTATGTGTGTGTTGCCATGCAGAATCTCACAACTGCCCCTGACTTGGAGCTCACACTCCCGCAGCAGCAGCTTCAACCCTTACAGTCTGTGGTGGGGTCGAGTGTGGTGTATGCAAAGGACTCGGCAGTTCGGTTTGGCAGGATGCCACAAACATGTTTAAATGCATGGCGAAACTACACGCTACTCAATTAACATCATGGGTATTGAATAAGGTACTCCATTGGCATTGGTATCACTTTAAGATCTCTGCAACTGGTAGTGCTATTGTAATTTTATACCCAGCCCTAGGAGTACTATAGTACAGATAAATACCCATTAAACAAGTTCACTAAATATTTGTAAGATACACAATCAATAGTTTTAAGTGATATAACATAACTCTTAGACATTCTTGAAGAGCTTTGTATGTATATCCCATTACGGTTAGGCCTTCAGTTATAGACGTAACTATGGCAACATGTACAGAGATACTGTGCATTAGTTTGGAGCTCCAGTAACAGGTTCAGTCATTTGTCAAGTAAGTGCAGAAACAGAAGCAAACCCTCTGTGAATCAGTGGTCCCAACTCTGGAGTCAGAAAGATTTTCTCTTTCTTAGGAAGCTTGTCTATCCTCAAATGACTTTAGGACTGTTGCTGAAGTGACGGATTAGACTTCTGCGCCAGCATTACCTCAGCTCTCCTGCTTTCCAAACTCTCTCACCCTCTCTCACGCACATACACACACACACACACAGAGAGAGAGAGAGAAAGAGAGAGAGAGAGCTAGCTTACAGCTGTATAAAGGGCTGAATCGCAGCTGTTTTTTCACTTCTGCATAGATATGCGTTATACTGACCTAGCCTATTTCTCTTCTGTCTACTGACGTCATTAAGATCTTGAGTATCACACTAAATCTTAAGAATAGCTGCAGCATTAAAGGCATACACATTTATTGTGCCTGTGTTTGGTTTATTGCCTCCAGGCTTTTCTCATACCTTTTCGTGGGCACCAAATGAGAATGGCTGGGCATGGTATCTGCCTTGGATGAAACATAAGGAAATGTATATTTTGTGTTTTACGGGTCATTTCACAACCACTACAACTGGTAAGAGCACTAAAATGGTCCTTTGCTGCTTCAGAAGTGAGACTAATAAGGATATTAATAATAAAGATATATTGGCTCTGCTATAAAACTTTAATCAATTTACACTAAATGATGATGTGGCAAAGTGTCAGATTCTTCCAGCGCTGTCAGGTCAAATGGTATGTCATTAGATCATCGAAATGCTTTGTACATTTCTAATTAATTTGAATCTGTCTCTGTCTTTTTCTTCCTCTAACAGAAAGAGATCCAGGCCATGAGCCAGTGCCACCACCCCAACATTGTGTCTTACTACACCTCGTTCGTGGTGAAGGATGAGCTGTGGCTGGTCATGAAGCTGCTCAGTGGTGGTAAGTGCAAATGTCTTCCAAGGCTGTTTTCTTCCATCATGTGTCAGAGTTATATTACACTGACCTTTTCTTTTGCTCGTCCATTTGAATGTCTAGATCCCAGACAGGCAAAAAAAAAAGATGTACACTTTTTGTGCACTAGCTTGGAGCACTGTTTTAAGCCACAGTTAAATTAGTTTTGTTAACACAACAGATATGTTTTGGTTATCATCTGGGGGGTCCAGAATGTTTGGCAGGGCCCCTCATGATGAGAGAGGGGCAGTAGGAAGAGATGGGCTACTTGCTGCTGGTGATGTTAACTGTGATTGTAGGGAATGTGACAGCACTGATCCTCATTGTGTCCCATGTGAGCTGCAGCTCTTTCCGGGCTTTAACTCAGTAACAGTGCAGGAGCTAATGACAGGGCAGAGGTAATAACAGCCCGCAGGCCGGCGTCATGGCACCCATGTGGCAGTGCTGCAATTAACTAGTGAGAGGAGCATGAAGAGGAGGCCACCATGGAGAAATAGACCTCAAAATGCAACGATTTCATTTGCTTGTCATTGTTTTGTTCATTTTAATTTTCACCAACAAGTGGAGTATTTGTGGTTCTGGATCAGACTGTGAGGGAGACAAGCTTTTACAACGAGTGTGTGAGGGCTCTTTGACACAAACAGCATGTAGATGAAAGCGTCCTGTACCACACATTTAACAAGCATTAAGCACCGTCTTCAGAGATAAGTGTAATGGCCTTTTGTTTACAAAGAGTCAAAAAATGGTCAGTCATTCTTCTCTTAATCCTGCTTTCAGTCTCACACACGTAATTATACAAGTGTACACAGATACATCCACACGCTAAACATTTACACTCTGTTTCTACCCTTCCTTATTCCTGTGTAAACAGCGTCCCACTGTAACGGATAGTGCCCAGGTGGCACGCCTGGCTCCCTCGGATACACTCAAGTCATGAGCTGCTTGGCAGCCGCCTTGCAGCTGGGCCCGGGGGCACAGTGCCCACCAAGCAACGCTTGAGCAGACGGCCAGCCTCACAGTGGGAGCTGACACCACTTAAGATGGCCTCTCCCTTTCCCCTTATCCTAGTTAAACAGAGGCCCTTGATGTTGAGTTTTATTGTGCGGAGTAATTAAATGATGGCCATGGCGACGTCTGCCATGGAGACAGACCTCAAATGAGGTCGGGTTTATAGACCATCACTCCACAGGGCAGAGCATACCAGCCCAGAGGAAGGCCAACCGCTGTCTGCTCCTCTGGCTTGATGGAGCGTAAGAAACCCTCCACCCTCCGACTCCATCCTGTCTTGTGTCTTCTGCTGTTGAAAGACTGTTAACAGCTCAACAGTTGATCTAACAAAGCACTGACATGTTTTTACATCAGCAATGTTTGTTTGTAAAGTGCCATATGATGAAGCAGCAGAATACATTCCTATAGAACAGGTTTCATTCTTAATAGAAGAATGTTGTTAGACCACTAGATTACACTGGTTTAGCAATATTTTTACATTTGCTACAGATGAGAGCTTAGTAGTTTGCTGGAAAAGTTGCTAAACAATCGCCTAAATACTTACATGTCTGGATAAGCTATGTTTTATTGAGCCACAATACAGAATTAACTGATGGTATGCTACTCTTGTTTTGGCATATACCATTTCTTAGTGGTTGACTATCGGAATGCCACTTAGAGTAGGTATGTCACTCATGTTGCACTGGCAGATACCAGTGCAGCATGATACTTTTACCCCCGGGCGTACTGCAGCAGTTGCCATGGGGTATGTGAAAAGACTGTGAAGTAGCTCAGCTTATTTGAAAAAAATTGTTTGTAGATAGATATAGATGTTTTTTTGTGTTACCCATGACAGGACGACTTCACACGACTCACCTCCTCCAGACCATACCTACAGCTGTAGGACCTTTAGACCACATGTAGAGGTTAAGAATATGTGAAAACTAGCTAGCGAGACTAGTAGTATACAGATCAACTTTATTGTTAGACCAACATGTTTAGGCTTGTGGCATTGAAGTTGTCTTGACAGTTGTCCTACAAATGTGGCTGGAGTTTTATCTCTTCAGACATTTTCCCCTCTCCATGCGCTTTGGAAGAAGGTGATGTTGTGCCAGCAATCCTCACTCTGCTTCTAGCTAGCAACTAAACAGAATAGTCAAAAAAGATCTCTGCACAAAATGCAGAAATGGCCGAAACAGCTATCCTCTGACACTTCAAGTGGTAGAAGTATGAATACCAACTTTACTGTGCCTGACTGGTCTTTCACTGGCACGTGTTACTCACCTCTGATAACAGCGATGTACCTCTATCGGCCCAGGCACCACTAAATGTTGCTTTATGTCACCTGTGTCTTGGTAAGAAAGTTGTACTTGAACACACTGGAAAGACTGCAGTTAACAGCCAACTAGCACATATGTTCTGCATCTACATGAGAGGAAATAACTGGTACTCTGCATTCAGCATTCAGAAAGGGAAACCAGAAAACCCACAGGATCGATCCAAGATGCTAGTTAGCCAGTTAGTTCATTAACAACACAACCTGATGTTGAAAGAACAAATATTTACCTTGCGCTAGTTATGATAACACAAACACTTACAAATCATTTCCGCTAAAGAGCTCAGTAATAATCTAACCTTATATAACAAGTTTGTTTGGATCACACACCCTCTTGACTTTAGCTGTTTGTTTGCTTTCCTCACTTCGGTTTCTTTTCTCATGCGCTGAGCTGAACTGTCAGTTAGTGTGATTTTACTCACCAACAAGCTCCGCTTGCTCTGCAACTAATGCCAACAAGGGCCGACTAAAGCTAGCGGTGCGGAACGCACCACAAAAAGTAGGGTGACAGATGATGACTGATGGCCTGACATTGACCAATGGCCGACTGAGCACCTGGTGTATCATTGCCTTAACAATCGGCATATGCCACTGACACATGCCTACAACCACTTTTTGATCTTGTGTGTGATTGAAAGTTGTTTAGCTTGTAAAAGCTTATAAAAGGCCACCGTTGCATACATACTGATGCATATTACATAAAAACATCAGTGGATTAAAAGTTTTGACAGTCCCCAAGGTAAGAGTCTTACTGTCATATCTGACACTGTTAAACTCTTGAACCACTTTTGCAAATTGTTCACAAGTTAATGGCAACGCCTCTTAGATACCATGTCTTCAAGACTTTATGTCATACGTTGTTCATCCAAATGAGTAAAGCTCTGAAAAGCCTAATCTTCAATCAAGACTGCCTCCCTCTCCGGTAAATCCGTTCAAGGCCTAACCTGTAGAGCTGAGTTTAATGATCGGTGCGCAGTGCAGGGCTTTTCAGGAAATTCCTGTTCTGAATGTGACATATGAACAACTGTTTCATTAGAGCACCACATAGTCCGTCACTGACTGAGCACGCATTGGAGAGACATCCACTGAAACCCACTGGGACAAAATATGAGTCATGCCAAAGCAAGCGGAGGAATGTGTTCCCTGGAGATTAATGTGCAGCCTTCAGCGACCGACTCCACTGCCGCCGAGCTCAATCGAATGCCACTCAGAGTGGAATCCAACTAAAGGCAGATTGTTATTGACTGTTTCGATTTTGCATATGAAAAGACTCTGTCAAGTTTGGAGCCAGTGGATTTGTCACATCATGATGTGGCCTTTAACTGTTGCCAAAATGCTGACAGGCAGCTTTGTTGGTGACTCCAGGTTCACAGAAATAAGACAATGAAATTCTAGCTAGGGGCGTAACAGTACATCGATCGGGATCGATTTGTCAAATCAATGATTGACGATCCAAAATGATTGACGCAAAGTTAACACATTGATACATATCATTTTTAAGATACACCTTTCTTTTGAAACCCCCATGGCACATCTGTGTCTCGATTTCTGTCCAAGTACACCTCCTTCCTAAACATTGAGACAGTGTGGTCCATTGCAGGCAGGCAATGGTAAGCAGGACAACGTGGAATAAAATCGAATCGCAATCATATGTTTATTCATTGTGATATCTGCAAATATCATATCGTTGTCCAAAGAATCAATAAAATATCATATCCTGATATAAATTGTGATTTACACCCCTAATTCTAACTTGCAAAATTACCTTTGTTCCCTTCTGTATCTCATCCTTTTCCCCCCAAGAAAATAGAGACATCTCTCAGTCTGTCAGTCCTCTCTTCTACACCTTGTTTCTGCACCACCTGTGCCTCTCCACAGCCCCTCCCCTGCCCCGCCCTCCCTCTCCCCCTCCAACTTTGCTTGGCATTCCCTGTCGGCCTTTAGCACAGTTGGCACCAGCTCCTATCTCCTTGGTCCACTTCCCCACTCCTCCCTACTCTCCTCCCTTTTTTACTCTCTCATCCTCCTGCTCAGTCCCAAACCTCCTGCTCTGACCAGGAGACCGAAAAGATGAAGTGGAGCTTTTACACTTTCACAAGTTTTGTTTGAAATCCTGAGAAAGAGCGAGAGAGAGAGAGATTTGACTAATCCAGCATGTAACTGAAATGATGATTTGGCATTTCCCAGAGTTTTTGCCTGCTCTATAGTGTGCTGCACTGTCAAGACTCAATTTATCCCCTGTGATTTGTATAAACTCTTCCTCTGGGGGCTTGGACAGGCACCATTCAAACCAAGCCAACAGGTGTCATTTGTCTTGGAAGCCGTAGTCGTTCCCATGCAAAATGAACCTTTTGGATTGTTAACCTGTCAGTCAGTGTCAGCATGTTGAAACAGCCTAATGAGGCGTGAAGAGTTCAATCAGATGAATTTGAAAGAGGCTGACAAGACTGGCATTTAGTGATCCCCCAAAGCTCACGTCATGCTGTGTGTGTGCACTTAGAAATGTTCTCCCCTCGGTGCCATCTCAGCTTAAAGGAGACTTGTCTGGAAAAGGAACTATACACGGTTTCTCTTGCTTTACCCTCTTCCTTTATCAACATTTTCTTTCTTCTTTTTAAAGAAAGTTTGACATTTTGGGGATCATTTGCTGTTGCTCAGAGTTGAGTGAGAAGATCGATACCACTCACTTTACAGCCATCAGTATCAATCTTTTCATCTAACTCTTGGCAGAAAGCAAATGTGTATATTTCCCAAAGTATCAAACTATTTCTTTAATGGTTATACATAAAGCAGGGCTGTAAATTTTCATATCCAGTTAAGTGGGAAAGGATAAGTTCCTGCACATTAGCTCCTTCCTCACTTCCTCATCACACCTTTATTTGTTGGCTCATTAGGACTCCATCTTCCCCACACTCGGTTGTAGCTCTGTTCAGCTATCCTCCTTCCCTCAGCAGCTTCTCCATTGTCACCTGTCACTTCTTGTCACTACCTTTCCTCCCTCCCACCATTTCAGACAAGGAGATGAACATCAGACTGAGTGCAGAAGCATTGAGAGAGCGGAGGGAACAGTGTGCGGAGAACAGAGGGGGAAAAAAACGTCAGACAGGCTGCCTTTTCTCAATGAGCTTCAAAGAGCTGTCACATCAGAGACATGAGGCTGCACTCGTCTTACACTCTCCTCTCGCTCCTTGCCAATTCACTCGCTCACATATATGCTATCTCACACACTCAGACACATATCTAGGCTGCTTTTCCCGCCTTTGCTCATCTGTCCTGTCCTCTCTTTGAATGGGTCTCTCTCCCTCACTGCTGAATCACATTTTCTTTCGTGTGCTGTCACCGCACGACGAACCCGTTGAACCCACCGTCCCTCCCTCACTCTCCTCTCACTCTGCCTCTGTGTGTCGCTGTGTCTAAGACTCTCTGCAATAACACTGTCTAGTCTCAGGTGGCCCGTCATCGTCGCCTCCCCTGGGTAATGCTGAGCTCGACTGAGCGCTGCAGGCGAGGACATCCTGAAGTGATTGAGCAAATGGATATCTTTGCACCCCTAGCTTGGCACAGTTGCTAAAACACAATCAATTAAGTCCTGGAATTGTATCGTGGACAGGCTTTTAGGACCTTGAAAGGCCATTTCCAGTATTTGTTTGCAAGTGCTGCTCTGTGTGTGTGTGTGAGGCTGAGGGTGTGTGAGGGAGGGACAGACAGTGTGGCAGTGTGTTTGTGTATCACTGCAGCACAATACAGCTTGACAGGCAAGTCGCATTCTTTTTGCTTCTCTGCTTTGTCCCCATTCACCACTGTTGCCCAATTTTCTGTCATACCGAATGCAAATACTGAAGCTCTTTTCAGAGGGATGTTCTTTATTCTGTGAAAAGTGGCACAAAGGAGATCATACACTGACAGCAGTTGGACTTTTCATCCAGAGCGCTCCCTTTATTTAGCAGAAGCCAGGCTGAGGGAGACATGGTGACCTGCAGGGTCAGTGAGCACAGCTACGCTAGTTCTCCATTCAGCCTGGGCAGCTGAAGACAAAGCAACAGTTGAACTTGTAACCTCAAATGCACACTTATCTTTCACTCAGATCTCTGGCCAATTCCAAAGGCATTGAAGGCACGTGCACCCTGAAACAATTAGACCAACCTGTAGTGCTCAGTTTGTATTTTTGAATTTGAAGTTAAACTGGACTGCAGAGAAACTGACTGTTATGTACTAATAATGATAATAATAATACATTGGATTTATGTTGTGCTTTTCTGAATACTCACAGATGGTTTACAGAGAAAATGAACAACAAAAGAAAAATGAAATAAGTTTGAAGTGGATACATTGGGGGATGGGGAGCCAGTGGAGGTTGTGAATGATGGGGGTAATGTGGTCACGGGCGCAAGAGTGTGTGTGAGAAGATGTTGAGAAGAGTTCTGGATATATTGCGGTTTCTTGAGAGTTTCGGATAATTAACTGTAGAGGAGACTATTGCAGCAGTCCAGTCTGGAAGTGATGAATGTGTGAGTGAGCCTCTGCAGCTGAAAAGGAGAGGGATGGACTGAGGCGGGCAATGTTTCTGAGATGGAGTAAGGCTGTTTTGGTGATGTGTTTGATATGTTGGTCAAAGGAGAGGGTTGGATCAAAGATGACACATAGGTTAAGGACATTGGGGTCACTGCGGTCCACTGAAGGCCACCTACTTACTGTCCCACACACAAGATTAAAGACGAAAGGTGATAGAGCCTTTAAGGCTGTTGCACCGAAATGGTGGAATGCACTACCTCATGAGCTGAGAGCGGCCTCTTCCGTGGACATTTTTAAAAAGCAGTTAAAAACACATCTGTTTAGGCTTGCGTTCCATTAATTGTCCATTGTATCATCTCTGTATTTCGCTGCACTTTACTTTTTATTTGTTTTAGTGTATTTTGCATTGTTTCTGTTATTGTATTTTTTTGTATTTTATCTTGTGAAGCACTTTGTGAGTCCTCTCTGTGAGAAGTGCTATATAAATAAAATTTACTTACTTACTTACTTACTTAGTTACTTTGGGGCCGATGATGATGACTCAGATTTAGCACAGTTAAGATTTAGGAAGTTGGTTTGAGGCCAGGATTTTATTTCAGTGATGCAGTTGGGGAGAGTAGAGTGAGTGGCAGGAGTGATGGCTTTGGTGGAGATGTGGAGGTGATTGTCAACGGCAAAGCAGTGAAACTGAAGTCCATGATGGCGTATTATTCAACCAAGGGGAAGAATGTACAGGATGAAGAGAAGAGGGCCAAGAACTGAACCTTGGGAAACTCCTTGGGAGAGGGGAGCAGTGGTGGATTTGCAGTGAAACTCATTTGGGTGGAAAACCTCAAACAAAAATCCTGTGAGTCTACAAAGTCAATCAGACTTAAAGTCAATATACCAATTCCAAAATATGTCCCCTAATGATGTCATAAATTCAAGTCTTGTTTCTGTTCAGTCACTGAGACAGCTGTCTATCTGTGTAGATACTGACTTTACTTCTTAATATCATAAATTGCACAACATAAATTATCTTTAATGGTAGAGTTACCCATTAAAGAATACATGGTAACAAATGTTCTGATTTCTCTCTATCCAGCATAGGTTTGTTTTGCCTTGGCCATATCAAAAGGTCATGGTGGTGTTTATGATTGAAGAACTTTTGTTTTAACACAGCTAAATCATTTGTTTTTTCCTTCAATAAAATCTATCTTGCTGGAACTGGAAAAAAGGTCTTTGTGTACCCATAATTTGATTTATCCAAACAATATAAGATTATACACAAATCGTCTTGACTAAATGTCCGCCAATCCAACAGGAAGTATGTGTTTTCATAAATAATTTTGGATTAGAGTTGACTTAACAAATGATATAGGCTATCCCGAGGTGACTTTCTCATTGACGCAGGAACTAGATAGGCAGAAACAATACAATTTATTTACCCAGTAATCCTTAAAAGAGGTCAACTGCTGGATAGTTTTCATTTCTCTCTGACATCGATGTTGACAAATGTAGTTTTCAGCAGAGAGATATGAAGCATGCCATTAATTCTTTTACTTAACCACTTTCCTGTGGTTTTTATCCAGGCTCCGTACTGGACGTGATCAAGCATATCATCTCACGAGGCGAACACAAGACAGGCGTATTGGATGAGGCCAGCATAGCCACGGTGCTGAAAGACGTGCTTGAAGGCCTGGAGTATCTACACAAGAACGGACAGATCCACAGGTAACGAGACTCACAGCCTTCCATTCTGGTACTGTAATAAAAATGACACAGGACTTTCTATTACCATGAAGCACAGAGGCTTTATCAGACTTCACCTTGAGGGTTTATGAGGCAGAAACTTTGTCTTGTCAAACTAATATTATGTCCCCTACCTTGACTAAATGGGACATTGTTTTATTATAGTGGAGTGTCTGTGTTGGCACTTTTTTGTGAGCAAACTAATCCAGATACAGCGTATTATAGAAATTTAAAGTTTCAGTGTGTAAGATTTAGGGGGATTTAGTGGCACCTAGTGGTGAGATTTGCAGATTGCAACCAGTTGAAAATTCTCCCGGTTAGAATTCAGTCAGTGTTAATTGTTTAAACCAGTCAGAAATGAAGGGCTGAGCTATATGGCCAAAATGTTATTATGTCTTTTTTTTTTTCATCAGTCAGTATTGATACTTATCACAATAAATGTCAAATCATTTTTGTGTGGCAGATACAGTCATTGGGTAGCCTTCTGCTGTGTTCCATGGTCTGAACAATCATACTAAAGTAACTTTATGAGCGTGTTGAATGTTGTTCTGGCGCTCTAACGTTACTGTACGCATTAGCTTGGTGGCTAGTCTCTTCTTCCTCTATTACTTATTGTTCTGTTAAATAGCAGGTGGCAACTAGCGTTTAAGGTGCATTAGTGCCCCTCTTCTGTTGGATTTTATTTTAATTATATCAAACATTTGTCATATGTCTAGCAAGAACAGTTATGTAGTGATCATTTATCGCCCAGCCCCAGATCAAAGTTGTATTTTAATGAGACTTTTTATATTATTATATCTTTTTTTAGATTTTTTTTTAGACAAAGTGTTGTTAAGATACACATTTCATATTATGTCTTCGCGTTTATTAAAACATTCCTCATATGCAGACATCTTTAAATATAGACTTTGCAAATGCCAAATCTCTGGGTTAATTAATGTACTTATTAGCATAAGTGTCTGTTTTTATATATTACGGTGACTAATCATATCATTATGTGCCGCTTCTCATTATGTGGTATCTGTTGCCTTCACACTCTTTCCATTTTTCAGTGAGATATTTCCTGTCTTAGTCAAAACGGCAAATAAATTCATGGCCATAGTTCATGGTTTAATGCAAAGTTTAATACACAAAAGTGATTGGTATTCTTCTAGACATACGACTGTACCAAGGAAATTACATTTTAGACAGCCACTTTCACACTAAAAGGTCAGGGGATCTGTATTAAGATGAGGCCATATACTTTTCCAAAGGGGCTGCGACAAGTGCTCCAGAAGAAGAAACAGTAATGACTTGTTTATAGCTAACCACTAAAGTATGGTTATGAATGAAAAATCAAACTAATTTCCTGTATACACCATTAATTCTAAAGCTGTACAAACAAGACAGGCCCTCAGTGTATTAATGAAACTGCAAAAACTTTAAGTTGCTGCAAGAAATCTTTAAGTAGACTACCACGCCTGGCCTGATAATCTCTAAGAGTTAAGGTATGAATATGCATTAGTGGAATGTGTGAATGGCAGATTTGCGTGCCACAGGAAATGTGATCCCGAAAGCTCTCTTCTAAGCCAGTTCAAGACCTGGCTAAGTCCTGGCACTTTGAGCTGATACGATGAACCCAGTCGACACACTGGCTGTAGAAGTCATCGCACCGCCCCTTTTGTATTTAATATTCATTACTCACGCTCCTCCACGTCTCCTCTTTTCTCCCAGTGGCACACATATAGCCCGGGACAGGCTACATGTGTAAATAATGCATAACTTTTTGGCTTGGTTAAGTGCTCAGGAGCTTTCAGTGTAGCATGCCAATGAGAAACAGAGAGAGAGGCTTGATTGAAAATTTTGACCGTGGACTTGGAATAGGGATGTGTAGACGAAGTATCAACTCATTACGACTGAATTAGAAAGCTGCTGTGTCCTATAGAAACTTTAGGCAGATGTATGGAATTACACAGTTTAAATTACTGTGTTAATTAGAAGGAAAATGCACTGCGGTATACCTCTGCTGCGGCATCTAAGTATCCACTCTAAGCATAATGTGTCAGGGTTATCGGTCAGTGCCGGAGAGCCGGAAATGTTTTTCCTGAGTAAAACTTGCCTTCAGCTCTCTGCCCTGTCCAAGGAGACATTAAGGAATCATTAATAGATCATTTATCACTTCTGTCCACCCCATACTCTAAGGTGTGACTTGTGAAAAAGATATCTTGAGGTAACCCCCCCCCCACCTGCTGATTGCATGCATGACTGGAGAGGCCACGGTTAGTTGATCGGTGTCTGCTGACGTAAACGTGCACATATGGCTGTGCGCGTTCCTCCTGTGTAAGCTAGATCATATGAGTCGGAGCCTCAGGGGCAGGGGTGATGGAGAGAGTCAAGGGGGCGAGGCTTGATGAGGAGGCAGAAAGAGGGAAAGTGTCACATGATATGTTCCATCCAGCCCAGGACGGCAGAAAAGCAATTAGAGTCTTGCGGCCTGGGCTGTAGCCTCAACTGGAGACATTTACCACAAGACGGCGAACTGCTCCACCTCCACATTCACATCAGCTCGGAAAGTCAGTGATTCAAAGGTGACACTTGTCCTCTAACTTGAGCAGCAGGTAGAAGAAAGATAGTGTGGACTGTGTCAGTTGAATCTCAGAAAATCAGCATGTTAATTTTCGGGAAGCCCTATTGTGGGGAGCTCTTTGCCTTACACATCTCTGAAACCTCACATCTCTACTGAGGGTACATGGGAGGGCTCTGCCCAGCAAATTACTCGGTATGTGGTTTAGTAATGATCGGGTAATGGCTGTAGTTATGCTGCCCCTGGGAGCGTCTGGGAGAGCTTCTTGCTTTGGATTAAAGGAAAATTGACAAAATAAGAAATAAAAATTGATTTGGAAAAACAGATGAGATTGAAAATCAGCAGTCTGGGGAAAGCAATCAAAATGAAGAATCCAAAGGTAGATAGTTCTGTGGTCAAAAAAAAAAGGCACAGCTAAAAGAGACAAGGTATTTGTCCTCGTGGGAGACCCACGGGGTGTCTCATAAACCCTCTTTTACAGCCCTGTTAGGGGCACTGTGAGCCTGGCACCAGGATGTGATGTCACAGGAGGTTACCCGGCGGAGCTGCAAGGTGCAGGAGCTGCCAGATGAGAATGATCAATCTTCTTGACAGTTTCATACCGTGGCTGTTTCCACCTGGCTACTGCCTGGCTATCATTTCAGCAGGTCATAAATACAGAGAGACCACACATATCTTGTTCATTTTTCAATAATATTTTTGTTTCTGGAAACATGTTTGATAGCCTTAAATGTGATTTAACGTATAGAAATAAGCATAAAATGGCCATTCTTCTGGCTTAATCACACCTACTATTGTGAGATGTGGCTGGATCACTAGTAGGAGTTGGGAGTTAAACTGCAGGTTGGCTTTTTTCCCCTCTCCGCTACAGTATTTCTTTGAACTTGCATGGTGCATTGTGTCACCACCTCCTCCCTCCTCCTCCTCCTCTTCCTCTCCTGTGAATGTTAATGACTGTCTGCACTCTGCAGCCTTTTTCTCGGAGCATTTCAATCTGCTGCAGTGAACCAAAGCCTTCATGGTTCTTGAATGAGTGCAGGAGGGACTCAATCAGATCGTCTTGATCACTCTGTGTGAATGATGCAGCTTCGTGGTCTTGAATCAGAGTGGAGCATCTTAAATCCAAAATCCACCGTAAAGTAATACTAAGAGATTGCTTCTCAGAGATTAGTTTTATTTTGTGAATCTGAACAAGCTGATTACATCACAAAGAGACATATCTGAAGACCCTATGGCAGCTTCTGATTAAAAGCTTTAAGCTCCTTATTCACATAAAATTCATTGACGTAGTATGTGGAACAAAAGCTCTTTGAGCCCCAAAAGTCACTCACTGATTCATTTATGTAACAACATCAATAAATTTATTTTTATGACTCGATCCTTTCAAGTCTTGATCTTGATTATGCGCCACATTGGCGGTCAGTCCTCCACTTTGGTCATGCTGTGTAATTTGGTACAGATATCCACGGTGGTTTGAGAATTAATCTTAATGACTTCAGTGGTCCCGTGACACTTTATCTAATGCCATCAGCGAGTCAAAGTTTTCACTTATCAGATGAAGTATCTCAGTATCTTCATGGTTTCTAGAAGATCCTATTGACTCTGGTGATCCCCTGATTGTCATCTAGCGCCACCAGGAGGTTCCCAGTTGTGGTTTTATCTGAAACATCTAACAACTAGGGGTGTAAATTCACCAGTCTCATCCCGATACAATATTATATATATTCTTTGGTAAATAATATGATATTTGCCAGTACTACAAAGTCTACCACGATAGAATTTCGATTTGTTGCAGTCTAGGGGTCTGCAGTCGATAAGAGAAAATATTAAATGCCCATATAACACAATCTGTTACAGTTGTCTGTTACCCCTACTAACAACTCTTGGACTTTTACTGAAATGCCATTAATTTTGTTTTAGACCAAATACCTGTAAAGCTAGCATGCTAAACTAAAATAGTGAAAACTGTATATTGAGCTGATAGCATGACTGGTAGGTACCTTATACCTTTATGGTATTGACTGAAATAACCCAGTGCCAAGTAGAATGGAAACTTATCCCATCAAACGCTACCTGCATTTAATCCTCTTTGTACCTGGATCTAGTAAAACAAAGACTATCTGTATGGTTTTGGTAGCAGCCAATCACTACAAGTGTTCAATTTAATGACTTGTGATTGACCCACTACTGAAGCAGCTGCAACCCATGCAGTCTGTAGAGTGGTGAAGTCAAGCGTGGCGTATTTGATGGAGTTAGCAGTTCAACGTTCTGTGATACCACTAAAATGAAAACCTGTGGTGTCTGAAAAAATAAATGCATAAGATGTGGAAGGATTATTTCAAATGAAGTACTGTTATCACTTTAAAAGTACTGGCATTGGTACTGGTATCATAATTATTTAAACAGTATCTAACCCTAATGACAGTAGACTCTTAATCTTGTTCGATATGTTTAAAATCTCTAAACTGAGTCAGAGTAAATCGTCCATTGGGCTGGATTTTTTATAACTTCCTGGCATGTTTCCCGATGTAGAAGCAGAATGCAGCCCAGTATTTTTCTTGGACAAATGTGGGAAGTGAGATGGTAAGTCAGCAGGTCTTGTGACATGGCCAGAGTGGTTAATTGGCCTGGACTGAACCCACAATACCTCATTAAAATACAGGACATTATTAGCACAGGCTAAACCCTGAATCACAAGCGCCAGAAGACATGACTGGACCCACTGAGAGAGGGGACGGGGGATGTGTAAACCAGGAAAAGTATTTTAGGATACTCCCAAACTTGCCTTTCAGCCTCAGGTGGTCAACCTCCCTCTGCACCTCCCCTCGAATCCTTAAAAAGCAACATCTCAAATTACAACATGTCAATCATCCTTGTTGTACGTGCAAACACCCAAGGTGGAGAATGAGCATGCTCTTTTAAGCAAAAGCAGCGAATGCAAGAAACTGAAAGATACTGTGACCTGATGTCACCTAGCTGTTCGACAGGGCAGTAAAGTGACATTGGGACAAGCCAGAGAGGCGGGCAGCAGGGACGTCTGTACAGCAGCAGACATTGCTTACGGTGGTCTTTCAAAGCTGCCAGCAAAGGCTGTCATGTCCGTTTTTCATCCACCTTTTCCCTTCCTCTGCATCATCCCCTGTGTGACAGTTACGCAATTGAACTCGTCTAGACAGAAATGCACATCAAAGTTTTGCTGCATGTTGTACACAGATAGCTCTTTCTGCCTGAGCTGATTACTGAAAACACTTTTAGAGAAGGCACTGATAGAGTCCACTAACACCTTGTCCTGTGCAGTATCCCAGTCTGTCTCTGGGTAGTTGTATCATCCCAGCAGTTGTTTTGTCCTCCAGTGGGAATCCCCATGTTTTGCTTTCAGCCAGTGGTCCTAATATGTCACATATGCTGTATTCCTCCCTCTGTGGCTCACTGTCTGCCACTCCCTGCCCCTGTCGCTACGAGATCTGTCGTATTTTACTTGAGCACTCTCGGCAAAGAGGCCTCCACACTCCAGTATTCAGCAGCATTTGAACGAAGATCTGAACTGCGACCTGCAAACTCTTGAGTCCCTTCAGCACTTTGTGTGTCTTGAGTGGGTTGCTTGTAAAGACTATACGTCTTGTAGCTACAGAAGAAGGGGTGCTTAAGCCAAACTGCAGACTCCACCTCCTCAACTTCTTTTTTGCTGCAAACCCTCAGGATGCGTTCAGGAAGCCAGGTAAAAGCTTTTACAGTAATCAAGGGTAAGTTTCGGCATGCATTCAAGTTGTAAGCAAGTAATTCTATGAGGGATTACAAGACTCATCCAACCACTACAATTATCTCTGCAGCTTTTGCCTCCCATGTACATGGTATTTGGCATGAGTGTATAGTCTGTATGGATTCAATTATATGCTATAAAGTGGTAAAGTGAGCCTTTGTTTCTTGGAAGCTGAGTCATGTCTCATCTCCAAACCAGTACTCCAAAGACCAGTCTATTTTTACCTTCATTGAGACCAATTTGTTTGCTGGAACTATCCAACAGCATTTATCTGTCAGCTGAAGCTGCAAGCTCTTTACTCCAGTGCCCCCATCTGGTAGCACGGTGAACTGCGCCGCTGTCGAGACTGCATCTCTTTTGAATCATTTGTCTGCCTGTCAGTGCAGTTTAAAGATCCGTCTCAGGGTAATTTGTGCAAATGATATCTGTTAGAAATTGTTGAAGGTGGTGTAATGGCTGACGGTGTTCTGAGGTTGTGCCGCTTTTTGTTCGTAGTCCTGTCGAGGTCTTTCTCCCATTATACTCTCTTAAAATGTACATTCACTTCCTTAAAGCTTGGACAGCTGAAAGAGCTGACTGCTGTCCTCCGTGACACCGCCGCCATCCTTACTTTTTATTTCCTCGCCTTTCACTTGACCCTTCGACTTTATCTCTGAGAGTCTGTTGCCATGACAACTCTGTCTGGCTGGTGAGGTGGCAGTATTCATTCTGTGTGGCAGTCTGTGCAATTGTGTGCGAGTGCGCACGGAGGCAGGCAGGCAGGCAGGCAGACAGCTGTCCCTGCTGAATCGTCTTATCACCACCAGGGGAGGCTGAAAAGAGATGAACAAATTAACTATGGACTGTGTGTGGTGCCAATAAAATGTACAAAAAACAGTGATAGAGAGATGAAAGCTGTAAAGCCTTTTTATTGTACCAAGATGGATAATATCTCTTTTTTTGACAAGTTATCAGAACGTATCAAAGAGTAGATCCAAAGTTTGCATAAGATGGGAGTAGAGCTAAAGTAAAAATGAATAACTCTGTGTCATTACTCTGACTTTAAATGTCTCAATTGTTCATGTTCATTGTTTGAACTACTGGAGCACTTGAAAGAGGCGTTTATTCAATGTATAAATTCATGTGTTGTCTTTCACAGAGATCTTAAGGCTGGAAACATTCTCCTTGGGGATGATGGTTCAGTGCAAATTGCAGGTATGTACCCTCGAGGCAGCACCACCTTTCAGCACCTGTCACTAGTTACCCAGATTAGGTGTGAAGAAGTAGTTGTTTCAGTATATTTATACACAAGAAGCCTTGTCTGCGGAGGGACATTAACTTACTTGGCAATACCTTTATTGACTTAGTGCTTTGGGTCCTTTGAGCGTGTTTATCTAACTTATTCTCCTCTCGTTCCTTCCTTTCCTTCTAGACTTTGGCGTTAGTGCCTTTCTATCCACAGGTGGTGACATCACTCGAAATAAAGTGCGCAAGACGTTTGTGGGAACACCATGCTGGATGGCCCCAGAGGTCATGGAGCAGGTTAGTTATGGAGCCAAGACATAACCATGACAACAAAAAACAATCAGACGCAACTTTGTTTTGGCAGGCAAAAATAGACATTCAGTGTTGCTTGGCAGTGAAGGTAACATAGCAGACATTTTTATTTCTTACTGACTCTGTTGTAGACATTGAAAACTTGAAGCCATACCTCATCATCTTTGATATGAGAAAGCGACCATACAATAAGACTCTGATACCTGAACTTGAAGGTTACGAATGACGAATCTTAGCCCATTTTTAACTCTTTGCTGTCTGCTCCAAGAGTGAACCAAATTATTCCATGAACACAGCTGATGTTTTTGATGTGTGATACGATTCTGCTTCCACAGGTGAGGGGTTACGATTTCAAAGCAGATATTTGGAGTTTTGGGATCACAGCCATTGAGCTTGCCACGGGGGCCGCACCTTATCACAAATACCCGCCAATGAAGGTGAGAACACTGTGGAGCTTACCTAGAAATGTGGAGTCAAAGGTTCAGTAGTTGATTTTTCATAATAGAACTTTGTGTCCTATTTGCTGCAACTGAAATAATATCCTGACAGTAGTACATGAGACAGAAAATCTGTGAAAAAAATCTGGTTCCTCTGGATCCTCTTAGTGCTCCTGATGGCATGTGCAAGAATGTGCTGCACCTGAATGACAACTTCCAATCAGAGCTTGGAGGAGTGTCTAACGCAGTGTCAATCACTGCTCAAGCACATGTTGTGCAACAAGTAACAAGGAAGACTCTTCTTTCGTCTACTGTATGTACTGTATGTATGTGTGGTTGGCAAAGGAGGGATGGGCAGCTTTTTCCATCTCTGGTAATTGTTTCACAGTCATTGTGTTTACAAAGGTCCTACTGAAGCTGTGTACTGAAGATACTGAGCTTTACTCACACCCCCTTTCCATCAGATTAGCTGTACTTCTTGAACCGGTTCCATTCAGGACTCTTGGAACCTTGGTGCCATCCAGCTAACCAGCCCATGTTTCCACCAGTTTTGAGAGGAACCATTGTAATCGAGCATGTGTTGTCAACGGAGGGCGTTAAAATACACACAACTGCAGTAAACTGTAGTAGAAACATGGCAGATTGCCTTTGTTACCTACAAGCTTTTATTGTGTTATTACAGATGTTTGTTTTTATCCTGGAAACAAGCATGGACCAACTATTAATGAGACCACTGCACACTTTTTTTCCCTAACAGTTTCTTGTCCTCTCCATTATTGCCCTCTCCATCCTCTCGTTCCAACCTGTAGACCAGTGGTTCCCAACTGGTGGGTTGTCTATTCTGAATGGACGGCAAGTGACTCGCAAATGTGTCAAGTTTGTAAAAACAACACGCTTTATCTTTAAGTACAGTGAATATCCAGCACAGAACTTTTATTTTGAAGGGCCATTTTCTGCAGTAGAGTGAGTGACTAATGGACAGCAAACTAACTTGTCGACATGGCCAAATGCAAGTATGACGCTGATTATGTTCAACTGTGTGGACCTTGAACTAATGACTGAGGACTAATCTGGACCCGTGGCTGGACCAGTTGAGAAACACTGCTGTAGACTATGACACCTACTGATGACATCAGTAGGCTAATTTGGAACAATTTTTGTGAGCTGGTTGGACTGAGACAGACGGTATCTTGCTGGTAAAGGAGCTAAAATTAGTATGACCACCTGGGTGTCATCCATCCATTTTCGTAACCGCTTATCCTCTTGAGGGTCGCGGGTGTGCTGGAGCCTATCCCAGCTGACATTGGGCAAGAGGCAGGGTACACCCTGGACAGGTCACCAGAATATCACAGGGCTGATACATAGAGACAGACAACCATTCACACCTACGGACAATTTAGAGTCACCAATTGACCTATCCCCAACCTGCATGTCTTTGCACTGTGAGAGGAAGCTGAAGTATCCCGGAGAAAAACCACGCTGACATGGGGAGAACATGCAAACTCCACGACACGACCCCATGTGTCATATTCCATCAATTCCAATTGGTGCCAGAGCCGATAAATACCCGTGACTGTTGCACGGTCATTTGACCCGAGTATGAATGACGATGTAACCTTTTCCATTACATACAAAAGTCAGATGTTAGCGGGTGTTAGAGAGTTTCTTGTGAGTTTCTTGTGAAGCGGAAAGGGGGCTTTAGAGACTCCTCATGGCTCTGATTGGTTGTTGTCATTTTGGTGACATGGATTCTTGCAAATGCCATAAGGAGCTCTAGGAGGAGGCTGAGGAGCCAGATTTTTTCAGGTCTCATATACTACTGTCAGGATATAGTGACATTTTCAGGTAATATGACAAAGTTTTTTTTATAAAAGTTGCTGACTGAACATTTTACAACAAATGCAAAGTCAGTCCCTCTTTGGATGCCTTCTGTGGATGCAGCCGATGAGATACCAAAGTTTTATGCCATTGTGACATTTGAGTAAGTGTGTTTCTGGTGTGTTCAGGTCTTGATGCTGACGCTGCAGAATGACCCCCCCACCTTGGAGACTGGCATCGCAGACAAGGAGATGGTGAAGAAATACGGCAAATCCTTCAGGAAGATGATCTCCATGTGTCTACAGAAGGACCCAGAGAAAAGGTGCTGACTGTAATGCCTTTACATAGAGTCTCATATAACACTTAATGCTTAACATTGGCTTTCAGTACGTATGTTTAATCGAAGGCTTCATATGGAAATTAAGTGCTAATTACAAAACAAGCATGTGACGTGAGGTCATGAACAATCAATTTCAACTGATTTGCACTACTTGGCACATGTTAAACAAAGCAGCATATTGCTTGTATTGTCCTGACCACAGCTCTTTGTTTCACTGTGCTTCCCTGGTTTCTGTTGTCTCTATTATTGGGAGTATAAAAGCTCAAATGAATAGAACTCATTTATTGTGCTGTTTTTCAGGCCGACATCCTCAGAGTTGTTGAAGCATAAATTCTTTCAGAAAGCAAAGGTAGGTGTTTGCGCTCCCTGTGGGCCTGAGACTCAATTAGCTACACAATGAGTCAGCATCATCCCTGTTTGAGGCACCAGTTGAGCTGGTTGATGAGTAAAGGTCCAAGTCTGCAGATCTGATTGGATCTGAGTGGCCTCAGTATGGTCTCTGTTTAATATTAAGCTGATCTTAATGACTAAAGGTTGTTTTTTAGCACCAGAAGTTAAGAAACAATTAAAGGAGGGTTTCATGCAGGAGAAAGAGGCATCAAGAGCTGCAAACAAACCAATAAAGCCTCTCTCCCTGAGGCGTTTGTGTGAGCAAGGCCACTTCTCTCTTGGCTCAACTTGTCAGTGTGACTGACCCAAGCTGAGGCCGTTGCAGCATTCTTCTCATTATTGAACATACAGAGCCGTTTCAAACAAAAGCAGGGATAAGCAGTCTAACTCCAGCCTCCGGTTGCCCAGTACCCTAGCAACTGGAACAACTAGAGTGCTGGCTCAGCATGTCACACCTCCCAAATACAACCAGTTGGTTTGCAGCACATGACACTGGTCAGCAGCAAGAAGTGCAGTATGCTGTTTGTACAGCAGAGGGCAGGCTGATGGTTTAAGAACAGATAGACCTCTGGTACAAATGAGCAGAAGGGAATTAAATGGATATCAAGCATATGATTATTGATTTGCCGTTCTGTTGGTGAAATCTGTCAGAAACAAGAGTTTGATTATCGACAATTTGTTTGAAATTGTAACCCCAAATGAAATATCCACAATTTGAGGAAAAAAGTCAATGAAAACTTAATTTTTGTAGCATTTTACCAAAGAAGGATAACAAAACATTAAAATAACAATACCAAACATTGGGAGGAATATCTAAATCAAAAATAAGCAGCATTAATAACATGTCTTGTAGAGTAAAAAAATCTTGAGATGAGATTTAACCCTCTGGGGTCAAGGGTATAATTGGCTGTTTTTTACTACCTTTGATTTAACCTTTAAATTTCCCCTTAAAAACTGTTTACCTTGCCCTTTTGTTGTCATTTTTTTCAGCACAACCTCACTTGTGTTATTTTACAGTTATTTTTTCATTTTGACATACTGTGTTAACACATTGGACCCTAAAATCACACAAAAACACCACCAATAGCAAAAGGGATGTCGTGGTTTTTTTTGTTGTTGCTTGCAAGCACTTTCTGCTTGTGAGCACTTTCCTTAGAATTGACCATTTCTACCGCTTGTTCCTATATTGTCATAACCAAATGTTATGACAATATTCAGGAACAAGCATGGCGGAAATGATTTATCATAAGTCTGGTTTTACTTGGCCTATCAACACAATTTAAAATTGGTATATAGTTTGAAGTTCGCACTTTCAACATAAGTTGAAAGGGAGTCTTGCTGCTACGTCATCTTAAATCGGTCATGCGATTCGACTGCACCAGAGGGTTAAAAATTTACTGAACAGATCATCCAGGACAGCAAATGCTTGGTCACCACAAGTATTGCACTTTGACCGGAGCAAACCTGTGATGACCTGAGAGGTCTAGTGGACCTGTACGGGGTCAGTGACTCACTGATGCAGAATATGGTAGAGCAGAGTTGTTTAAGGATTAAAATGTAATTATTACATGGCTTTGTTGAATATTTGATTCTGATTGGTCGATTATAGTGTTCTACGATCTTTAATTTTTGTATTTTCTGTTATCTGAATCTAATCTAATCTAATCTAATCGCTGTCATAGTTCTTCTTGCAATAATGACCCACTTGCTGTACATTATCATAATTCCACATTTGACAGGAATCCAGTGTAGCTATAAGTCTTAGTAAAGCACATTATGGGTTGCAGCTCATTTTCTGATTAACACAAAACTTAATCGGATAACAGAATAAACACATATAGAGGATTTAGAGTAACAGCCGTGTTATTCTTTCCTCTTTTGACAGACTCATGAGTATTTACATGAGAGGTTGCTTCAGAGGGCGCCCACAATAGGAGAGAGATCGAAAAGGGTAAGACGTCAAAGGTTAAATTTGCACTTTGTGCTTGAGTATCATGATGTTGTGTTTTGTGACACTGCATTGATTCTCATTCTCTGTTTCTTTTTTTTACTGCTACAGTGAAAATTTGTTCACATTGCTCAAAACGTAGTGCTATGATGTCAGCTGTTACAGGGACTGTGATAAATGCAAGGACAGATCTCATTGTTCTGACTGCAAAACAATATGTTGAATCATAACCTCTGTATTGTAATCCATATCATGTTGCCAGATTCTTGCCAGTACACAGCCCTACCCAGTTGTGTACATATGTGTTGTCAGGTACGTCGAGTGCCAGGCTCAAGCGGTCGGCTGCATAAAACGGAGGACGGCGAATGGGAATGGAGTGACGATGAGCTGGATGAGGAAAGTGAAGAGGGCAAAGCAGCTGTTGCTGCCTTGAGGGTGAGATGACGCAGGCATCAACACTTCTGTTATACACTCCATGTCTTTGTCTTTTAATGTCTGCACAATGTTTCACTTGTCATTCTCATGTCTGTGCAGTAGCATGTCTGTCCATTGTCTCCCCACTGAGTCTCCCGTATGTGTGTATGTTCTGTCTGATGGCCAAGGAGCAGCAGGTGAAGCCTGTTAGTGCCACCAGGCGACAAGTGCGCTTCTCCTACCCACTCGAGCTGCCTGCGTCCAGGGTTGTTCACTTGCCACCATAATACAGATGGCATTCCCCTAACAAGGAAGGACTCTCTCTGAACATGGTAGCTAGGGAGCACGTGACAGCTATTAGGGCAGGAAAGACTTTGTAGGGAGACAGGAAGGTGGAGAATAACCTTTTGTTGTTACAGTGAGGACTGTAGACATGCATTAGGAGAAGTATGTGGATACTGTACACGTGCTCTGATATTAAAGTTTATTTTTACAGGTTTGATTAACCAGATTAACAGGTCACATCTTGACCTTTGTCTTTTTGGGAATGATTCTTGATTTTACCAGAGTAAATCAACAGACAGCTAAACTCATACCCTCCAGATAGTAGTGACTGTGTTTGACTTAGCATTATGTAAGTTTACATTTACCCACTGGAAGACAACTAGTAATTATCAAGCTATGTTATGCAATTGGTATGTTGAGAAGAGAAAGTTCACAACACCTTTGTTACTATGTCACCATAGTGGACATTACATGCAGAAGCATTTCCACAATTTCTTCCTGAAAATTTGGAAAATAGAAAATTGTCAGAGACCTTGTTTGTAAGGAGCATTATTTAACCAAAGAAGTGAGAGTTACCTTTCCTGGAAGCCATCCGTATTACCATTTCTCTTTCATAATCACTTTTTATCTATACTGACCAAATCACCTTTAATCAATACAAGGCAAATTACTTATCAATCCTGTAAGTGATTTTCAATAAGAGCACTAATGACAAACAGGGGATTTAAATTTTACCACATCTCTGCTGCTTTGATGCTGTTTTACTGGCTACTTGTTGGCAAACTGAACTTCTAATGCTCACACCAGCTCTACTGAATGATTTCTCAAAATTTCCTCAGTAAGTTACTCATCGATGACAGGGGATTAGGGCCATTATTAGTAAATAAATCAATAAATATAAGGTCGGGGGAGGGGTGTAATTTTCAGAGACACAACTCAGAATTTCCGGGATTTAAGTCGTAAATTTCCAAGAAAAAAAAAACATGGATATTCTGTTAGATTAAAGTGGTACATTTACGAGAAAAATGCCCTTAAGGCTTTTTGCTAAAAAGCAAGGTGACGTAATAGAAAGAGACAAAGTCCATGCAGCGTGGACATGGGTGGATGAATGGGTCAGGCACAGGAATTTCACCCATGAGATCAGGGTTTGTGTCCCGTGTGATTCAACCTTGGTTTATTATTTTTAGACTTTGTTGATTCATTATTTTCAGTTTTATTATGTATAAAGCTGCTGAATATGTACTGTGTAGGATCGCTGAATAGGCCAGTTTGTGTTGACATCACATCTCAATGTTGCTAGGGAGTCCACAGGAAGGCGGTCCAGCTGATTGCCAGGTAACACCCCGCACTTCAGAACCATAACAGGACACCCTGCTTGGATGTTCAAACAACGGTCATTCACAAGCTAAATATTTTAGGATGTTGAATGTCTGGTATTTCCTGTTTACCGGTGACGTCTGCGGTGTAATGAAGTTGATCCAACCTTGCAAAGTAAAGAGATGTGGTTCCTTGACTGCAAAAAAATCCCCCACAATTTAAAAAAAACAATAAAAAAATTGTATAAATATGTGACTTAAAGCAGCTGTGCGGAACTTTACATTTTTGTCGATTATAGCGCCCCCTTTGGTCAAAGCGGTACGACACCCACAGCCTGGTGTCGTAAAATTCCAACTGCCGCCAGCATTCGGCTTCATTCGTAAAATCTCGACTGTAACCGGCAATTACCGCATGCATTTGTTTTGTAGAGCGAGAGGAAAATCATAAATGTTCTGGTGTAGCTCTGAATTTCTTAAAAACTGAGGACAACTGCCTGCTGTATATTTGTGTTCATGGTCACAGTCACAGATAATTTTGTGGCGTTTGTTGTAACGTTACTAGACAAAAGTTCACATCAGCTAACGTTACATTTAGCTGGCTTATAACTTCCATGTCATCATATTTTGAAGTGAAACAAACAACGTATAACAAGTTGCGGTATATTCTCTAAATAAAAACAAAAATGACATACCTCTCGATTAGGAAAAGGGCCAACTCGGGATCAGTTTTAGAACCTTTCAAATCTCTCAGCTCTCTCCACTTGGTGAATGCCCGACCAAGGTTTACACTCGTTTGGGATCGAGCCCTATCACTGTCCCGTTGAGCCTTCTTCTGTTCTTTTTCTTTTAGATGGTGCTCCTTCTTTATCTTCCATGACATCGAAAGTACAACCAAGTCCTTATAGATACATCTGGTAAAACTGTTATGTGTTCAGCAATGCCCTTTGCGTACCACTTACTTGAAAAACACTCTCTGTAAACACAGCTCTTCTTCTTCTTTCAATTTATTGGCGGATCGCAAACAACTTCCAGGTGCATACCACCACCTACTGTACAAGAGTGTGCAATGTGTCCGAAATCATTCACCACTCCCTACTACATGTCAGTTAGCCTGTTTATTAAATCCTACTTGTAAACACGGTTCCTTCTTCTTCTGTGCTTTAATGGCTGCGGGCTGCTGTGGGCGTGCAGACTTAATTCCGCCTCCGGGTGCTGTATTCTGGTTTGCTGACTTCCGCTGTGTCCGACCCGACCGAGGCTACGCTAAATAGCCATATAGAGAAAGGCTTTTTTGTCGCTGTTGGGTTCAAATAAATATGCGGATCTTCAAGGGGGGGTGATACGAACTAGGGACAGTTTTATAAATGGTAAAAAGTTCCGCACAGCTGCTTTAAATCTCAGAGAATGTTCGCAGTTTTATGACATTATAATAGCATATTTGAGTTTTTGCCCAAAATTTTGATTATTTTTTCATTAACTTTATCACATTAATCTCAGAAATTCTGAGTTTTTTCCCAGAATATTACCCCTTCCCCAGGCTCTGTATTTTTATTTTTTATTTATTTATTTATTTGTTTATTTAGTTATACAGCAGATTCCTGTGCTGATGTGATTTTGACTGCGGCCAGACGCCACATCATATCCCCTCAGTCATGTCAGCTTGTCTGGGCATGTGGGGCTTCTGTCCAACTCTATGCTCCTTGGAGTTGGTTTAAACACTTCTTTTGTTTTGCAGATAAAGAGAATTACCATAACTGTGTGATGTTCTCCTGATTTTGTGTTTACTTATGCCGCTTCTCTGCTTTTCAAATCTAAAGCTACAAACAAATCTGCAATGATAGAATGTATTGTCACTCGTTTACAATTCAATTACCCTCACCTTAAGGTGGGCTATATGATAAAAATATTCCATTAATGTGAATTTTTTGTCATGATTATACAGAGATGGAGTAAATTCTCTGGAAATAAACCAAAAAAAAAAAATTATCGACAGGAAGTACTTCATCAGATTGATTCAAAAATCCATATTCTCATAAATCAGACCTTGTTATTGATTTGCAATATTATACCTAACACCCAGTGATACATAACAATGATTGCTACCCTGCCAGTAACTGTGTAGTTACATCTCTACTGGTTGACATATTTCTGTCCTCTCACTATATACAGACATATCTCCCAACCATATCAGCACCTGATAGTGACGTGTAATTGAAGTATTATCAGCTCTTCCCACTCTAATGACATCACTGCATTCACCTTAAAGGAGATAATGATAAACCAAGTGGACCAATAAATGAGGAAAGTAAACAAGTGACCTGTTTTAATCCATTTAACCCTCTTGCTTCTGTGTGTTCCTCACAGTCATGCATGCTGTTTTTGCTTTGTTTAAAGCCATCACAGTGAGATCCTTCTCTGAGTGTTAACTTCTTTCATCTGTTTTTAACAGTCACCAAGAGTGAAGGAGGGATCACAGAACTCTGAGGTGAGATTTAAACTTTCTTTCTTCAGAGTAGAAGTGGTGTGTTTTTTTATACACTGTCAGACCTTGGCAAACTATCTAAAATGTCTGTTTTATGGGATTCATGAAATGTCACAATGCAGGTTTTAATCTACAAAGTCTGACCTTCTTTAAAGAGTGGACCTCGAGTTAAGATCATTTAGTCATCATGCTACAGTGTGTATTGAATAAGTGCATTGACTACATCTCAATGCACACTAATATTTTACTGTTATTCCAAATGTATGAAACTTGATATGGGTCATGTAAAGACCATATTTAGGTTGGGAATTCTGAATTAAGACATTTGGGATATGCCAGTAATTTGGGGATTTAGGAGCATTCTTTGGACATGTATACAGTGCACTCAAAATATGCATCTCAGTTTTGTTTTTTACTTCAGTTTGCATCACATGGCCTCTTGCCTGTTTATGCTCAGCTCTGTGCATTATCACGGGGGTGCCTTGTACACGCACTAATTAGCCAGTAATTTGCAAGGCTAAGATAAACATGAAAGACTTGGATATCAACTGGTTTAAATATTGCAACACACAGGGAATCCATTGGCTCAGTGGGTAGAGCTGGCATCCTACGTACAAAGGCAATGCTCTTGCCTCAGCGGCTTTGGGTTCGACTCCAGCCTGCGGTCCCTTGCATGTCGTCCTGTCTCTATAGCCTTTTATAGACCTTTTAGGAAGATGGTTGAAAGAATGAATGAGGGAGCGGTCAGACAAGTCTTCCACCGTTGGAAAACTTTGAAAAAACTGTATTTTGACATGAAGAAGCAAAATGGCTCAAGCAATTCCAGGCTGCACTGTTCCATATTTTGATGTGATAAACAATGTTAGGGCACGGCTGCATGTAAATGGGAATATCAGTGGATTAATAATGTTCATTAGCCAAGTAAAGAGCTTATTAGGAATATTGTCTTTCTCAGAATAAGGGTAAGATGGAAATACTTTGTGCATGCAAATGTACAACCAGCCTGTCCTGTCTGTGGGGGTTTGAACACTACGACTACAGGCCAACATGATGGAGAGACGGCAGAAAATATGCTGCAGTGTTTTCTACTGTTTACTATCCTATTTTCCGGCCTGTACGTGACATCGAACATGACACATAAAAAAAAATGCACACACAGAAAGGCATGCTTGTCTGCTGCAGTACCGTGTTCACAGCTCTGGGCTACTGGCAATGGAAAAGAGTCTAAAGCCTATTTTTAGCCACTTTACCTGAGTTTAAAAAAAAACAGCATACATAAGCTAATTTTGGTGAGAAAGGGAAATCATTTACACCAGAGTGTCTCAACATTTCACTGTTTTTGCGTGCATTCACTTAAATACAGCATCAGCTCGAATAAATCACAAGCCACATGTCATAGTCGTGACCATTTGATGGTATTCCTCCTTCAGGTTTTCCAGACTCCTGAGCCTTTAAGTAGTCAACTCCAGCCGATGGCCGCGGGTCAGGCAGAACTACCTCAGGCTGCAGGTCAGATTCCACTGCAGCCCACACCAGTCAACACTCAACCCACTGCCCAGGCTACATCTCCCACACCAGGTGTACCCGCTGCTGCTGCTGCTGCTCCCACACAGGTTAGTTTGACCTAGTTTCTTTTTCTTCCAATATACTCTGTTGAAATGTGTCTATCATCTGTTAACCTCTAACTTCTGTCATACTCCTGTAGAAATGTGAGTTATATTTAAAGCTTTCATTCTAATCAAATGTCTGTTTTCTGACAGGTGCAAGCCACCTCAGGGAATGTCAAGGCTCCCATTAGTTTGGTATTAAGGTTAAGGTATGTTTTTTTCTTTTGCAACAGACAAATCAGTAAACCAGCGGGTGAATGGTTAGTCAGAGTTCCATCATGTCTGCATACTTGATGTCTTTGTTTTCATATACAGTATATATTGCACTTTCAGTTGAATGGAATAAGTCTTTTAAGTTTTATTAAGCTAAAATGATGAACTTAACTCCTGATCAGGTCTCTCTTTCTTTAATCTCTTCAGAAATTCAAAGAAGGAGCTAAATGACATCCGCTTTGAATTCATGCCAGGGAGAGGTAAGTTTAAAAAATGCCAAGGTTAATGTTACTGGCTACAAATGCCACATTTTGGGTAATTAGTAAGAGAAAATGATAATATAAATTCCTCATGTTTTGTTGAAGTTATTTTTCTGTGTCAGCTTTCCATCACAGTAGCCAAAATAAATACAGAGGCCTAATCTGGAAAACCAAAAGCAGCTAATTTCTATATTTATCAGCACTGAGAACAAGGTGCTAAAACGCAGCTGTTTGTGTTTTAAGGAGTGCAGTTCTCGATGTATTTTTAAAACCGTAAGAGAAACCAGCCATTTTGACACTGTTAAGATTTGTTTTTGTTGTTGTTGCTGTTTTAAATACAGATATTTTGTCCACCTGTCAAAAACCTGTTTCTTATGCTCTGACTTTCCAGACACAGCTGATGGTGTGTCCCAGGAGTTAGTGTCAGCAGGTCTGGTGGACGGGAGGGACTTAGTAATAGGTAAGCAATTAAGCTGCCCCGACACACAATGTTATATTTCAGAATAATTATCGGAGGGGTAAAGGAACACTCATCCTGTGTTACATTGCATTTGTAAAGAAAACGTTTTTCTCGCATGCCTTTATGGTGAATAAAAAATCCAAAACAAAGATAAAAATCTTAGTGAAATGAAGTCATGAAGGGCTGCGTGTAACAACGGCAAAACTATATCAAAACATCTGTTTACAAACTCTCACACAAGTCGTGCAGGGAAGTCCAAGTCTCTTTTATCCAGTCGAGTGCTCAGTACTTCCCAAACAATACTGAACAGAAAGTGTGCTGTCTTCAAAGCCAGGCTCCACTGACAAAAAACAATCCTTTTACTTGCTGAACATGGGAGCCGCTGGTCTACTGCTGCCTTGATTGGTAGTTTGTTCGTGTTAGTGCTTAACCATGGTGAGTTAGTTCTGATTCACCAAAGTCACACAATAATACAAACAAACGTCCGATCAAGACATTGGTAGACCAGCAGCAAGTAAAATTACTTTCTTTTTCTTTTTTTTCTTTTTTTTCTCCTTTTTTTTTTTTGTTTGTCAATGGAGGAGTTGTGATGGAGCAGCTGATTGATGGAAGGGAGTCAGCTGATAGATCACATGATTTCTTTCTATGCAACCAACTGGTGAATCTCATTCAGAGCCCCTATTTAAACTGCTTTATCCTGCCTACTGTTGCTGCATCCTTTGCAAGCTTCCTTGTAGGCGCATGGAAGGGCAGGGAGGTTTGGTCTCTCTGTCTCGGGCTTTCCTCGTTTGCACGTGGAAGGGCAGAGAGGTGTGCTCTCTCCACCTTAGGCTTTTCACGTTGGTGCATGGAACAGGCTTTCTGCATCGGCCCATGGAAAAGCAGAGAGGCCCCAGGACAGAGCCATACCACCAAATATTATACCCCATATGGAAATAAAGTTTTCTTTGACTAAAGTGGTCCTGACTGAACCGTGTTTTGGGATTCTACGTTCACCAGAGGCATGTGAGAAAAAAAATCTTCACAAATTCAATGTAACATTGGGTGTGTAATTGAAAAGTGGTCTTTTGGGGGGTGAAGTATTCCTTCTCCTCTCTCTCTGGGTCATTTGCAGTGCAGCACACACAAACATTTTCTCAGTCTCACATTGTCTCATATTGTCCTCTCTCTGTGAACACACACAACACATTACCTGTTTTTTCTTTTCTTTGGGCTAAAACGTCTTTTTTTTCCAGTTGCTGCAAATTTGCAGAAAATAGTTGATGAGCCTCAAGCCAATAAAAATGTCACTTTCAAACTGGTGAGTGCGACACCTTCATCTGTAAACCATAGTAGTTCACTGAGTATGTTTAAAAGAAAAATATAGCACAGGTATTTCCAGCAAGCATTGCTGTATAAGATTAAAGGTGCCTTATAGAGTTTATGTTCAGTGTTCATCACTAAATCTGCATATCTGTGTCTTTGCAAGGCTCATTTTTGTAATATTTTGAAACAAACTTGGCATCTGGAGTCTTCTTCTCCTTCTGCACTGTCTTTTCTGCTCACTACTTTTTCTTCCTCCCTCTTATTTTCACAGGCCTCTGGAATCGAGGGATCTGAAATACCAGATGACGTCAAATTGATGGGCTTTGCTCAGCTCAGCATTAGTTAAACTGTTGTACTACCTGGGACCGTGACTTGCCTAAAAAATGTGAAAATTTAAAAAAAAAAAAATAGTTAAATGCATTTTTTCTTTCGATGGCTGTAAAGAAACCACTACTGCCAAAGAAAACAGTACCGTTTTGTCACCCATAGGATTATACGACGACGCCTCGTCGAATGATGTGGTCGGCTGAAGTATCAGAGCGTACAGTATAAGAATCACTCAAAAAAAAGTTTACAGCGTATATGTAGAAGGATGCAAATATCTACAACAAACAGTTTTCCATTCTGGTCTCCCTCATCTTGTCATTATTTTTTTCTCTCTAATATGTGATGCATTTGCACAATCTGAACTAACGCCCTTGAATCCTGATAAGTGTAACAATGCCTTATATTCATCAGAACTACTGAATGCACGTTTTTTGGGGACGTCCCCAGTTACCATATGGAGCATTATGTTGTCTGAAATGTACAAATGTGGTTTCAACTGCTTGTGTTAAACTTTTTACTTTATTTTGAGAGGAGGTAAGATGCAGCTTGTAATGCCAACTAGAGTTCTAATTTAGGGGACTAATGTACTTAACAAATGTAGCGTGAAACCACTCCATCAGAAGGATGTGAACACTCCTATCAGTAACAATCTTTAAAGGGTAAGGCTAGTTTTATTCTGTTTTCTTATTGTCGACAAACGCAGTGAAAAGACCAAAACCAACATAGTCTGTATATAAATAATTTCTTAAAACAGCTGGGCACTGTAGCTTTTATCAAATATTACTCAAACAAAATTAAGTAGTTTATTTGTTGGGGACTATTTTCAGCTGCGGATTAATACATTTGGCGCTCTAGTGACCACAGCAGCAGGATGGTGTATGTGGGATTGACCCAGAATAAAGACAGTGCCCATGCTCCTCATGAACAAAGGTGTCGCTCAATTACTACGTTTACATGCACGAGATACTCCGTTTTCCGCCCTTATTTTGAAAGAATCCTACTAAGCTGTTAATGACTAATGAAAGTGAATATTCAACCAATATTCCTATTAACATGCTCTAACATGTCGCTTATCACGTCAAAATGTAGAACAGTGGAGCTTCTTTACTACAAAATCAAATTTTTTAAAAATTTTCCACCAGTGGCGGACCGGTTGGACCAGTGAACGCAGCCTCCATCTTTCATTTCTTCAACCACCTTCTTGAAAAGGCCGGCGTTTCGATTTTTGTGCATAGCCAACAAATTGTTGATATTCAAGTCTTATACAGTGTTTAAATTTAGGTGTGTTTCTTTTTTCTTGACCAGAAATGTGGGCTGTTCTTGCATCTCTATCCCAGCACTGCAAACTGTTGACAAGTTGGTTTGTGTACAACATATCCATGACAATGCACAGAGCCGACGAGAAACAGACAAGTAAAAACTGAGGTAAAAACCTCAGTTGAGATTCCAAATTCACTATATACGTGCCCAAATGCTAATAAAACCTGAATAATACCAGTATATCCCACATGTCTTGATTAAAAAACGATAAATTCAGAATCTGTGTCTTTACATGACCTGTCTCAAATTCAGAATACTGTCATATTTGGAATAATAGTGGAATATTAATGTGCATGTAAACATACCCGGTTATATATCGTTAATAGTATTTGGGCAACAACAACACAATTCAAAAAGTTGTGAATATTTCCAGTCTTATCCTTTTAAATATTGATACAACCAGAGTGATTAAAAGCACAGTCTCCTGATGAAAGCGATAACTGTGAGACAATTTAATGGAGCTGGTGTGAAATTATTACACATACAGATTGTCCAGTAATTCAAATTGATATTAAGGTCAACAAATGTTCCTAATTTGTGAAACTTAGATGATTAGGGAAAAACTTCTGTCTTCATTTTTACCGTTTCTAAATTTGCCTCCTCTCATTTCACACAGGACACTGGCCTGATTATATGTTAAAATTATAATAAAGTGAAAACGTCTCGCGTCAGCTGAAACCACACGTGTTGTATGAGCAGATGTGTCTGTCTGTTGGTATTAGTTTGTGTCTGTTTGGAATCAGTTTCTTAAATTTGGAAGGAAAAAAAAGACTTAAGTGCATTTTTGTTTATGTGGATGAAACATAAGTACTTGATTTAACCTCTAGTCTGTAAATAATGACATTTGGCTTTGATTTGTTTTTATACTGGGTGTTTCACTCTCGGCCTTGTTTCTGTCCTATGACACGACTGTGGGTTGTAGCCATGCGCGAAGGAAGACGACGACACCGCAAATTTGGCTTTGAACTCATCCTGTTGGACATACTGTTACTTACTCTGTCGTGTATGACGCATCTTTACATTAAGAAGAAAAAGGTTTTCACTTTTTGCCTTTTGAGAAGTTTGAATATATTTTACCGTGGAGCTACAGCTGTCCTGATGCACTGCTTTAATGCCACCTTGAAGTTCCCCCAATTTTGACCTGAGTGACAGCAAATCTGTCTCCAGCTCTTAATAATACCAAGTGGAGGCTGTTTACAGTACTTATTTTAATCCACCTCTGAAGTCGTGAAGCTGCTTTATCACTTGTTAATCATCTTTTAAACGGCTAAAATGAAGATTTTACGTCCTACAGCTGTGATTGTAGACGTTATGAACGATCAGAAATGTGATTCAGATGCAGAAGGCCGTTATCAGTGCAGTCACATCCTTACAGCCTAGCCTCTGGATGTTTTTGTGTATTAGTGACACGGTTTGATACTGAATGTTCAACTCGCAGTTTTTGGCACCGACGGCAGTGGGAGGTTCGTTTAATACTGCTCTAATGTGTAGATCAGAAATGCCAGCAAGGTTTTACTGTTTCATTAGGTGACGTGAAAATGTCATAACCCTCCAGATGCCATATTGAATGAAAATGAATGCATTATTTTTGCTTGCAGATACAATGTTAGGAGGACATTTTTGTATTTTGACTTTAAACATGTTAAAATTTTACGCTAGCCTTAAATTGAAAACGACCAAGTGTTTTTTTTTTCTTTGTGGGTTTTTTTTTTTTTTTTTTTTTGATGTAACATTGAGGATTTGATTCAGATTTTCAGTGTGTTTGAATTGTAGTTCTTGTGACACGTGAAGATACCTGAATAAAGATATACAGGTGTGTCGACCCTGTGTTCTCCTCCAAGTGGAGCGACAACAGTCAGCAACCCAATGTTACTTTAAGTTTCTCAACTGCAGTATTTGGTGCCATTCTCCTGGTTTAGTCTGCAGCTGTCTGCAGACAAGCACAGGATAATGTGTGAGTGTGCGTCTGAGTGTGTGTGTGTGTGTGTGTGTGTGTGTGTGTTGCGTTGATTGAGCCCTGCTTCTAACGGAGTTGAAGACCTAATGGCTTTGTTCTCATCCTCTCTCCAACCATCTCTTCTGTCCGGCTTATATGTAGTCTAACAAAGCTGTAGCAAATGAACAGATGATCAGCAAAAACAGTTTGTCCAGGCAATAACTCATCAAGGCTGTAATATATTTGAATTTTCCACCTGTTTTTAGTTTTTTCATTCTTTCATTTGCTCTATTTTGGATCGTTTTAGAGTTCAAAGCATGTTTCTCTTGATTATTTTTAATCAATAAAGAATGAGCATATCAGCCTCCTCCAAGCACTTTCTGATTTTTTAAAATGTGCACCACCACAAGTCATTTTGAGTAAACTGTTCCTGTGAATAAATAAATAAATGTTTATAAAAATGAATTTTGCAGAGAGGACCAGGCACCTACACTGAACTGACTCCACAGCAACTTTAGGTAAGTAAGCGTTATATTTCCTCTAATAGTAATTCTTATTTTGCAGCTGTTTCACCGTTTCAAACGTGAGCACTTTTGCTTTTGCTGCCTTCAAGTTTACTGTCATCAATGTCTTTATTGCTACAATTGTCCTTTTACAATCCTTCCACCCAGAGAAAGTGTTATGTCCTGCTATTTAAACATTAACCAGACTATCACAGGGCTGACACATACAGACAGACACTCTGTGTCAGCCCTGTGAGAGATTGGTGACCTGTCCAGGGTGTACCCTGCCTCTTGCCCAATGTCAGCTGCAATAGGCTCCAGTCCCCCTGTGACCCCTAACAGGATAAGCCATTACTTTTCTAAATATACCATTGTTATTACCTTTTAACTTTGTCACACAAAAATAACCCATGTATTTAATAATTACCACATATCTATGTTACAACCTTAGTATATAATACAATATAGTCTACACAAGTCTAAATGTATGAGTGTAAAAATAGCTTGTGTTATGTATTTCGGGACATAAAGCTTGGGAGACATGGTCATTTACCAGGTATGTTGGTTTTAAGTTAAAATTTCCATCCACCTGACAGGTGTGACATCAAGATGCTGGTTATACAGCATGACTACATGCCTGCCTTCATATGGTCTCAGTAAAAAGCCACTCTAAAATTTACAGTTTTATCACACAACACATGCCAAATGTCACAGTGTCTCAGTGTCACGTTTTGAAGGAGTGTACAACTGGCAGAGGTTTTGCCAAGTTGTTGCCAGTGAGATTTGTGTTCATTTTAATACCATAAGCCGTGCGGTGTGGCTTCCGAGAAATTACGGCGCAACCACACACACCAGTACAGGACCTCCACATCCAGCATCTGCACCAACTCCAGATACTGACTGATTCTTTTGTCTGAAGCAAATACCACACCTGTCAGGTGGATGGATTATCTTAGAAATTGAGAAGTGCTCACTACTAAAGATTTTAACAAATTTGCAACCACAGATTGAGAGAAATAAGCTGTGAGTGCACAGAGGAAGTCTCAGATCTTTGTGAAAAATTGGAGCAAAATCAAAATCCCTGAGTTGAAATGACCCTGATTACATCATGAGTTTGCTTTCCCAGCTATGACAAAGCTCTTTCAGAGTTACAGAACACATGACACAACTGTCTGCACAGGCTGACTGGTGTTGAAATAATTGATAGAGATATTAGGTCCATAGGGCTTTTAAATTGCCAGAGTGGCATTTTTTAAAATGTAGCAATTACACAAAGTTAGATCTCTTAAGCACAATTTTGCCCTCAGAAACAGATCATAACTGTGATCTCAGGAAAATGGGGAGGAAAAATATTTTATTCAAAAATGTAGTGGACAAGCATATTTATATATATGCTAATTCTGACAAGGTACAGCCTGTTTATGACTCCATATGCAGTATGACCCCAACGGTCGTTGGACCCTGTCACCTTGTGTTACATGGGCTCCTTTGGGTTTTTGTAGTAGTGGCCCTGCTCATGTTGCAGTCTGTAAGACATTCTTTCATTCATTTCCGTAACCGCTTATCCTGTTATGGTTTCGGGGAGTCTGGAGCCTACGTCTTGGACAGGTCACCAGACACATAGAGACAGACGACTATTCACACTCACATTCACACCTACTCTCAACTTAGAGTCACCAATTCAACTGCATGTCTTTGGACTGTGGGAGGAAGCCGGAGTACCCCGAGAAAACCAATGCAACTCCACACAGAAGGACTCCCCAACCCCAGGGTTTGAACCCTTCATCCTGGGTTTGAACTGGAAACCCTCTTGCTGTGAGGCAACAATGCCAACCACTGCACTACAGTGACGCTTGTAAGACAGATAGAGAGAAAATGTCTGAGCTGCTGGATTGGAGATCTAGGCCATGTATCCACTCAACCTAGACTTTGATTAGCGTTCCTGATAAGACTCTTTGAGCCCTTTATACACACTTAATATTAAGTGCAGACTTTGCTTGAGAAAACTACCCATAGTAGTTTAAAATCCTGAGCTGCTGGACTTCAGCCTGAGGTATCCTGACATGCCATTATTTAATATTTCTGTAGCCTGATAGCAGCTTGCAAAGTCATAAAAACACAGTGATTGACTGTTAAACATTAACTTGCAGGATGACAGTCAAGTTGACTTTTGTTGGCAGGATGTTGCTTAATGCCAGACCTTTTTACGTCTCTGTCTGCACTCGGAGAACATTCAGTCATCAATATGAGCAACTTCAGGCAGATCCTAAAGGAGGTTGGGGAGTTTGGTTTGTTTCAGAAACGGTTAGTGGCTTTACTATGCATCCCCAGCATATTTGTAGCTTATGATGTGATCGGTCAGGTGTTTACGGGAATGATCTTTCCGCATCACTGTAACACTGACTGGATCTTGGAGCGTGGGCCGAACCTGACAGATGAGAGACGAAGAAATCTCACCATCCCGGTCAACAAGGATGGAAAGTATGAAAGCTGTAAAATGTTCACACCTGTGGATTTGGATTTGGAAACTATTCAAGCATATGGGATTAACACTACAACAGGATGCATAAATGGAACAGATTTTGAGGGACCCAAAGGAGCCTCCAGCATTTTCACAGATGTAAGTGATACTTGTTTAACACACTTTACTGTTCCATTAAATGTATTTCTTTGTTCTTGTAATTTATGTGAGGCTGTTTTTTTCCTACTATTAAGTCTGTGAAAATGGAAATCTAAAAACTAACAAATTAAATTTAGTATGTTTTTCTTTGGTCTCGTTCCACCATGCTTCCTGTTATCAGTTCAATCTGGTGTGTGTAAGGAGCAGCTTTATTGAAGTTTCACAGTCCATCTACATGGCCGGTCTCCTGGTAGGAGCGCTGGTGTTGGGGCAGATGGCTGACAGGTACACATTTACTCCCACCTTTACTTCAGTTGTAACTAAAAATTGAACAGAAACAAGTTTGCTTTCAAAGAAACTTCTTTATGTGCTGTGAATTTGCTAAAATGAACTACTCTGCTCAAGAAAATTAAGGGAACGCTTAATCGTCACAGTTTAACACTAAGTCAGATAAACTTCTGGGATATCAATCTGTCCATTTAGGATCACAAGTGATTGTGAATCAGTTTCACCTGCTTTGGTGCAGATGAAAGTGACAACAGGTGCAATGGAGAGGCAAAAGCAAGACAACCTCTAAAAAGGGAATGGTTTTACATGTGGTGGCCGCAGACAATTGGTCTCTCCTTATCCTTCCTCACTGATTCTTGTCTAGTTTTGTGTTCTGCTAGTGTCCATGTCACTACTGGTAGCATGAGGCGGTACCTGCAGCCCAGTCATCACCAGAAGACCGGCTATAACACGAGGAGAGCTGGACAGGGCCATAGAAGGACATCAATCCAGCAGAAGGACCGGTATCTGCTCCTCTGTGTGAGGAGGAGGAACAGGAGGAGCACTGCCAGAGCTCTACAGAATGACCTCCAGCAGGCTACTGGTGTGCATGTTTCTGACCAAACTGTCAGAAACAGACTCCATGAGGTTCCAGTGCCCTCTAGTGGGACCTGTGCTCACAGCCCAGCACCATGCAGCACCATTGTCATTTGCCAGAGAACACCAGAACTGGCAGGTCCACCATTGGTGCCCTGTTCACTTCACAGATGAGAGCAGGTTCACACTGAGCACATGTGACAGGTGTGAAAGAGTCTGGAGACGCCGTGGTGACCGTTATGCTGCCTGTAACATCATCCAGCATGACTGGTTTAACGGTAGGTCAGTGATGGTCTGGGGAGGCATATCCTCAGAAGGTCACACAGACCTTTGTGTCATAGCCAATGGTAACCTGACTGCTGTGAGGTAGCAGGATGAAATCCTCAAAGTGATTGTCAGACCTTACGCTGGTGTATTAGGACCTGGGTTCCTCCTGGTGCCGGACAATGCCTGGCCTCATGTGGCCAGAGTGTGTAGGCAGTTCCTGGATGACGAAGGCATTGATGCCATTGACTGGCCCTTTCATCACCCTGACCTAAATCCAATTGAGCACCTACGGGACATTATGTACCGTGCATTCAACGCTGGCAAGTACAGCCATGGACTGTCCAGGAGCTCACTGAGCACGGTTACATGCGCACAATAATCAGATAACTGGGAATAATCAGGTAATGGTAATAATCCGATTTGACGCGTTTACGTGCACTTCAATAATCTGATAATCAGAAAAACCTGGTTTACATGATTCAGTCCTTCAGTTGGATTTCTCCTCAAGTACATGACATAAAACTCAAACTTCCTGTTACAGCAGGTACTCATATCCTTGAAAAACCTCAAAGTATGCAAGTCATATATTTGCAAAGTAAAGCACTCATCATTCTGATAGCTTATATTCTTACAGTACTGTTTGTTTTTATCATTAACAAATACATGTGAGAGCATTCTAATGTGTAGTTTATCATTGTGGAGCCAATTTTACATACTTTGGGTAGATTCGGAGTAAAAGTACTGCAAAGTGCAATATACAAGTGTACTGTATATAAACTTGTCACACAAAGTGCATAACATATAAGTGAGATAAAATAAAAGTGACAATTTAAACACTGAGAGTATAAAAATATATTATTTTGTGTAAAATCTTTATCTGAAAGGAAACAAAAGCTGTCAGAATAACGTAGTGGAGTAGAAAGTACAATATTTCCCTCTAAAATGTAGTGGAGAGGGAGTATAAAATAGCAAAACCCGAAAGAAACCAGATTAAAGGGTATACATGCACTGAATAATCTGACTATTGGGGAAAAAGTTAGGTGTGTTTATCTGATTTCTCATAATCAGATAATGGCTTTTATCTAATAAAGCCTATCAGATTATGCTGTTTACATGACCACTTGAATAATCAGGTAACTCCAGAAATCAGATAATGATCGGTTTATTAGTGTGCATGTAAACGCGCTCACTGATGCCCTGACTCAGGTCTGGGAGGAGATCCCCCAGGACACCATACGCTGACTCATCAGAAGCATGCTCAGACGTTGTCAGGAGTGCATACAGGCACCCGGGGGCCGTACACACTATTGAGTCACATTATGAGTTGACGTGATAAAATTCACACAAGTTGGATCAACCTGTGATTTCAATTTTTTACTTTGATTTTCAGTGATTTTGAATCCAGCCCTCAGTGGGTTGATGATTTGGGGTTTTATTGACAGTTGCTACGTTGTTTTGTCAACAAATCATATAATTTACATCAGTACAGATTTTCAACTTGATTAATTCGTTCAGATCTAATGTGTGATTTAAGTGTTCTCTTTTTTTTTCTTTTTTGAGCAGTGCATATGGTGCTCAACATATAGCTGGAAAACATTTATATACATCCTTATACAGCTCTTCTCTACTCTTTATAGGTTTGGCCGGCGCTTCGTGGTCTTGCTGTCACTACTTCTCCTAATGCTGTTTGGTGCTGGAACTGCTTTCTCACCCAACATCTATGTTTATATGGTCCTCAAATTTTTAGGTGGCATCTCCGTTTCAGGCGTTCTTGTGAATGCATTTGTGATAGGTAGGTAAAATGTTCAGGATTTAAATTTCTGTCTGGGTCTGTCTTGAACCATGGGTTGTCTGGGCTTCAGAAAAAAATGGCTTCATTTCTCCTTTAGGAAGATTTTGCCATTTAAAAAGCATTATTGTTACTACAAACGGTGACTGCATTCAAATGATAGATTTCTTTAATTTGCAAACATTGCATTGCATTGCTGTCTACCACAGTATCTTTTTCATACCACCACCAGGGGGCGCCAAAAGCAAAACAAAGTGCCTTAATTTAGCAAGGTGCATACCCAGAGCGTTATTTGGAAAATTCAACAGGAAGTCACTGATGGTTGATGGTTTGACCTGCAAGTTGCCAGTGGTGGCTGAAGCACCTGGAAGCTATACTTGAATAAAAGTACAGCTATCTCAGCAGAAAAGCACTTTGGTAGAAGTTAAAGTCACCTATTAAAATGTTACTTGAGTAAAAGTCTTTAAGTAATTTTATGATATTAAATGTAGTTAAGTTTTGAAAGTAAAAGTTTAAGTAAATGCTGTTAATAAAAAAAGCAAGTGGTTGGAATTTTGAGATTAAGTTTATTTCCTCTTAACATGTGCACCACTTTAAACATGAAGCCTTCATTAAAACTCTTCGTCGCCATCTTGATTTTTTGGAGCCAGAAGTGGCCAAATTTGGGTGAGAGGCTGGCGCTGTGGAGGAGTGAGGGGTGGATCTACTAAAAAGATAAGGACAAAATCGGCAGACAGCCTGTCACTTGGCCAGCCACTGAGTTATATATATGTAAAATCCCCTGTACAGATGTCATTAAGGGGGAAATTAGCTATAGAGACAAAACTGTTTTTTTGTACCAGGCTGTAAACATGTTTATTTCTGCTGTAAAGTTGTCATTTTAACATGGGGGTCTATGGGGATTGACTGGCTTGTGGCCATTAGGGGAACTGCAGCTTTTGGCACTTCCAAATTAGCTTAATTTACAGCCCCAGAGGTTGCTGCTTGGTTTGTACTTGCCTTTACCTGCTACTTTTGCATTACGGAAGCATGCATACATTTGACTGAAAGTTGTCTAAATACAGTTGAATTAATAAAAAGAGAAGGGAGTATAATGTTGCTTGCTTCTTTTCTGTGGTTAACTTTAAATGATACCATTTCTGTCTGTGTTATTGCTTTGAAGGTGGAGAGTGGAGTGACTCCTCCAAGTTTGCATTCTGCACCATCATCTGCCACTCTACTTATCCTCTGGGACTGATGCTGTTGTCTGGAATGGCCTATTTGATCCGCAACTGGAGGATCCTGCAGCTGGTGCTATACTGCCCTCTTCTGCTTGTCCTGGGAATCTTTTACTGGTCAGCAGCCACTTAGACCACTTGGTTGTAATGTTTCAGATGTGAATCTCCATTTTAGCAACACATTCTCACTCTGACTTCGTCACATATCGACGTTTGGTCATGGACCTTCCACGTCCAGATACAACATGAAAGGTACCCTGGGTGCTTTGGTTGACAACGTTCTGGGAGGCTGTGTCAAATTATGCCTGTTATGCCTGGACATGAACACTGCTCTCCCAGGTGAAGGTCGATGTTTGTTGGACCCATCCACCACCTCTCCCACCTGCCTTACTCAGACTTTCCCCGCCTTAACTTTTGTTCTTGTCATACTGTGTTTTCCCCTGAAGCCATCGAGTCCCATTAACCTATAATGGCAACCGGCCACATATCATGCTGACGTTAAAGGACAGCTATCTTCGTCAGTGTCTGACACCGCAAGTCACCACCCAAGCGCCAGATTTCGATGACTTCGGAGTGAGACTGGGTTGATTTTAGCCTTAGAAAAAATTAAAGAAAGTGTACATTATGGGTAGTTCATGATCGTTGACCTGTATGTCAATTAGGATTCTCCCAGAGTCAGCTCGCTGGCTCATCACCCAGGGCAGGAAGGAGCAGGCTATAAAGGAAGTCCACAGGGCAGCCAAGGTGAACGGGAGGAAGGTCCCGGAAGATCTGCTAGACAAGGTGAGCTGTGTCAAACTCACTTTGGCTACACCCAATACCAAACACCATAAAGCCCCGAAAAAATGTTAATATATTCCACCTGCACTGTTTAGCTGGAGGTCGAGGAAACATCCAAAAGAGGAAGCATGTTGGACATCTTCAGGTTATCATATCTGAGAAAACGTGCAATCATAATGAGCTTCGTGTGGTGAGTATTCATTTCAACCACAACTACCTTTCAACCACATCTACAGTCATACCTGAAGATATGTCTTCCACTCTGTTTATAGGTTTGCAACAAGTCTGCTATTCTATGGACTGAGCCTGAATGTTGGTAATTTCGGAGTGAATATCTACCTCACACAGTTCATCTTTGGTGCAGTAGAAGTTCCTGCACGTCTGGGCAGTTTGCCTCTTATCCAGCGCTTTGGGAGGAAATTGATTCTATCAGGGACCCTGTTGTTTGGAGGCGCTGCTTGTCTTGGGATACTTGGTGTTCCTGAAGGTAATTTGTACAATAATGATATTATAATATTAATAATAGTATGTTGTAATCTGTCTTTGCATTTACATGTATACTTGATTTATATGTGTCACAAATTTGTATGTGTTTTTGTCTGATTTATTATTTGTCCATCAGACCTTCCTGTGGTGGTCACAGTCATAGCCGTACTGGGAAAATTCGCTGCCACTGCCAGTTTTGCCATTATCTATGTCTATACTGCAGAATTATACCCCACCACTCTAAGGTAAGGTAGGTAATGTCCCAGAGGTAACGCATAAATCCGTTTGCTATTGTTACATGTTGCTGACAAGTCCATTATGTATACTGGTAGGCAGAATGGTGTAGGTCTAAACTCCATGTGTGCTCGTGTGGCGGGCATCCTCGCTCCACTGATCAGGCTTCTGGGCACCCACCATTCCACCATCCCCATGCTGATATATGGCAGCGTCCCCATTGTTGCTGCAGGTTCCTCTTTATTACTGCCTGAAACCCTGAATGTTGAACTGCAGGACCACGCTGAACTCAAGTGAGTTGAAGAATTCTTTCGAAGCAGAGTGCTTATTCTGCTTACAGAAAACTAAGAGCAATTAAATAATGATATTTTTGTTTTTCATTACAGAAAACTTGAGAATGGTCCTGAGATGGGATCTGTTACGAAAGAGGAAAATTCAGGAAAGAGCACAAAGATGTAATTTATATGGACGTGTTGCTTTTCACAGAATCGTGTTTAACATAATTTTATTTTTTGTTGTTAAAATCTGTTAAAAATGTTTTACTACCACAGAAGTTGTAGACCGTTTTAAAGCTGGGATTTGTCAACACATTAAATTATATATACAGTACAGGCCAAAAGTTTGGACACACCTTCTCATTCAATGCGTTTTCTTTATTTTCATGACTATTTACATTGTAGATTCTCACTGAAGGCATCAAAACTATTAATGAACACATGTGGAGTTATGTACTTAACAAAAAAAGGTGAAATAACTGAAAACATGTTTTATATTCTAGTTTCTTCAAAATAGCCACCCTTTGCTCTGATTACTGCTTTGCACACTCTTGGCATTCTCTCCATGAGCTTCAAGAGGTAGTCACCTGAAATGGTTTTCCAACAGTCTTGAAGGAGTTCCCAGAGGTGTTTAGCACTTGTTGGCCCCTTTGCCTTCACTCTGCGGTCCAGCTCACCCCAAACCATCTGGATTGGGTTCAGGTCCGGTGACTGTGGAGGCCAGGTCATCTGCCGCAGCACTCCATCACTCTCCTTCTTGGTCAAATAGCCCTTACACAGCCTGGAGGTGTGTTTGGGGTCATTGTCCTGTTGAAAAATAAATGATCGTCCAACTAAACGCAAACCGGATGGGATGGCATGTCGCTGCAGGATGCTGTGGTAGCCATGCTGGTTCAGTGTGCCTTCAATTTTGAATAAATCCCCAACAGTGTCACCAGCAAAACACCCCCACACCATCACACCTCCTCCTCCATGCTTCACAGTGGGAACCAGGCATGTGGAATCCATCCGTTCACCTTTTCTGTGTCTCACAAAGACACGGCGGTTGGAACCAAAGATCTCAAATTTGGACTCATCAGACCAAAGCACAGATTTCCACTGGTCTAATGTCCATTCCTTGTGTTTCTTGGCCCAAACAAATCTCTTCTGCTTGTTGCCTCTCCTTAGCAGTGGTTTTCTAGCAGCTATTTGACCATGAAGGCCTGATTGGCGCAGTCTCCTCTTAACAGTTGTTCTAGAGATGGGTCTGCTGCTAGAACTCTGTGTGGCATTCATCTGGTCTCTGATCTGAGCTGCTGTTAACTTGCGATTTCTGAGGCTGGTGACTCGGATGAACTTATCCTCAGAAGCAGAGGTGACTCTTGGTCTTCCTTTCCTGGGTCGGTCCTCATGTGTGCCAGTTTGGTTGTAGCGCTTGATGGTTTTTGCGACTCCACTTGGGGACACATTTAAAGTTTTTGCAATTTTCCGGACTGACTGACCTTCATTTCTTAAAGTAATGATGGCCACTGGTTTTTCTTTAGTTAGCTGATTGGTTCTTGCCATAATATGAATTTTAACAGTTGTCCAATAGGGCTGTCGGCTGTGTATTAACCTGACTTCTGCACAACACAACTGATGGTCCCAACCCCATTGATAAAGCAAGAAATTCCACTAATTAACCCTGATAAGGCACACCTGTGAAGTGGAAACCATTTCAGGTGACTACCTCTTGAAGCTCATGGAGAGAATGCCAAGAGTGTGCAAAGCAGTAATCAGAGCAAAGGGTGGCTATTTTGAAGAAACTAGAATATAAAACATGTTTTCAGTTATTTCACCTTTTTTTGTTAAGTACATAACTCCACATGTGTTCATTCATAGTTTTGATGCCTTCAGTGAGAATCTACAATGTAAATAGTCATGAAAATAAAGAAAACGCATTGAATGAGAAGGTGTGTCCAAACTTTTGGCCTGTACTGTATGTATATTTGCTATGCACTTATTTGAGTTTTCTCACCTGAAGGTATTATTGAATAATGAACACTGTGTTTGTCTTTTCCTGTGGATGTTTTCCCTCTGTATGTATTTCGGTTGCAATGAGTTGACTGTCGAATCTTATACTTTATTTTTATTTCAGACCAGTATGGTCCATATAGACACAAATTAAAAAAACAGACAGAGAAACAATCATGACAATAAAAACAGTACAAAAATTCATAAGCTACAATAGCTAAAACACATACAAACATTTACTCCAGTGCTTCCAGAAACAGGAAGAATATGTAGTGTCACTCCATGCAGGCTCAACCAGGACCTGGATAACTTTGTTATCTGAGTCAGATTGTCTACAGATAAATTTAACCATAAAATTTCTCAACAATGCATAAAAAGTGGGGACATTACTGCTCACAAACATTTGGCTCGCACTTGTACACCTTGGAAGCTTAAGCAGTATTCTAAAAGCATCGTTATATGCCACCTGAAGCTTTTTCATTTTGGCTTTACTGTAACTACACCACAAGTGTGCTGTATAGAGTGGTGTGCAGTAAGATCTGAAGAGGACTATTTTAACATCATCAGTGCACATATGGAATTTGCGTGCCAGCATGTTCGCTGGCGCATACAATTTACAACACTGGCGCTGCACATCATCATAATCATCACATAAATCATCTCTGATGATGTGACCCAAGTATCTTACCTTATTCACTACATTTAGTACTTGATCAGACAGAAGGAACAACGTAAAGTTCAACTTCTGGTATTCTTTAGTTTTAAAAATCATCACAACACTCTTTTAAGAGTTAAACTTAATGTCGAACTGCACACCATATCCCGAGCACACTCTGAGCGGTTGTTGTAAACCAGCACTACAAGGACAGGACAACTATATCATCACCATACATCAGATGGTTGATGAGACTCCCCCCTACCATACATCCAGTCTTACATGCTTTTAACTCTTTAAAAAGATCGTCCATATATAAATTAAAAAGAACAGGTGAAAGTATTACACCCTGTCGAACGCCATTGGTCACCAGGAATGATGCAGATGTGGTTCTACCCCATTTGACCCACATCGTTTGATGTAAATACCAAAATTGCAAGATCCTTATGAGATATGGAGGGACCCCTCGCTCTTGCAATTTTAAAAACAATTTACAATGATTGACACGGTCGAATGCTTTAGATTCATCCAGAAAACACATAAACACTGGAGTGTTATGTCTACTGTACTTACTAACAACCTCCTTCAGAGCATATATACACAAATCTGTGCTGTGTTTATTTTTAAAACCAAATTGGTTATCAGTAGTTATTAAGTATGCTTGAAGCCTATCTAAAAGAATCTGTTCTAATACTCTGGACAGTATGCTCGCCAAGGCATTTGGTCGGTTATAGAAAATAATGAACACATTTTGATATGCCATATTACAATGATACTAATTACATCAAGACATCCTTGACACATAAAGTTAGCGACTAGCTGGTGAACATAGTGGAACATTTAGTAGCAAAAAAACATATATATTTTTCTTGAGAGCTGGTGGATTTACATGTGTTATATAGCCATAAACACAACCGCAAATGAATGCTTATGCTGCTCCATGTCGACTTGATGTGTAAACAGTAACATCGCCTGTGTGTGTAATATTCCTGTCATCAAGTGCTGCCCCCGTGAGGTGAGGTGAGGTGAGGTGAGGCGAGGTAAGGTAAGGTAAGGTAAGGTAAGGTATTAATGTCCCTGGGGGTCAATTTGGGATACAGACAGTAGTCATAAGTAAAATAAAACAGACAGTACAATACATAACACACAGAATCTCCAATTACACACTGTCAGGGATAAGATACGTGATAGCAGATGGAACAAAGGATGATCTGTAAAGCTTAGTGCTACATTTAAGGAGGCAAAATCTCCGCCCTGTTGGAAGCATCTGAAACTCAACATGCGGGGGTTGTTGAGAGCGTGAGACAATTGACCGAGCATTAGAGGTGACCCTCTCTTCATACAGATGCTGTAGGCTATTCAAAGTAACACCAGTGACCTTACAGCACAACTTGACCACTTTTTCCAACTTGTTCTTGTTTTCAAGGCTCAGATTACCAAACCCAACAGACACTGTTAAAAGAAAGAACGGACTCAATAAAAGCAGAATAGAACAATTGCATGATTGTCCCATTTACATTGAACGTCTTCCTTTTTAAGTCTTCCTTAAAAAGAATGGCCGTTGGTTTGCCTTCTTACAGATGCTGTCAGTGTTCACGTCAAAATTCAACTTGTAATCTGAGACAGTGCCCAGATACTTGTACTGCTGCACTGATGCCACCGACTGCCCCTTGTTCACACAAGGAGGCAATTGGGATTTCACTGTGGCAGCCTCAGCAGTCTTTTCACATCTTCATTGATTCTTCTGCTCTGGCTTTTGACTGTACTGAACCTTTCGTTTTTACTGTTATAGGCTCCATATTGTAGGTCTGAATGTGTTGGTAGTCTGTTTGATTTATGTTTGTACTATTTCCTCTGTCATTGTCTCCTGTATGTCATTGTGGTCCCTCTGCTAGCATCTTATGTCAGTGGTTCCCAACTGGTCCAGCCACGGGGTCCAGATTTCTCCTTAGTTATTTGTTCAAGGTCCACGCAGTTTATTATATTCAGTGTCAGAACTGTGTTTCGCCATGTTGTTGAGCTAGTTTGCTGACTCTGTTAAGTAGTTGTTATTCACTCACTCTACAGCAGGAAACGGGACTTCAAAATAAAATCTTTGTGCCTGAAATTCACCATACTTCAAAATAAAGTGTGTCTTTTTACAAATGTGACACGTTTACAAGTCACTTGTGGTCCATTCAGAATGGATCCGCAACACACTTTTGGACCGTGAGCCTTCACTTGGGAACCAGTGTGTTATGTAATTTGTGCTTCCCCTTAAGTGGTGTTATTGTCATTATCTGTGTTGGTGCTCATTTATTGACACACTATCCCAAATTTTACAATTGGCGGGACAGTGAATCAGCTGTTGTTTCCTACTAAAAGATGAATGCAAGTACCACATAACACATAAGTTAAATATTAATGACCAAGGTCAGTTATATTGTTAGTGTCTCTCACATTGCCCTTTGAAAAGGAAGCACTGCAAATTTAGCTACATGTTGATAGGAGCACCTGTGAAACTCCTGTTACCAACTGGGAGCTCTTATCTTGAAAAAGCAGCCTTGTCGAGGCCCACCCAGTTAACTCCTGTTACCAACTGGAGGTTTTATTTTTCTAACTTTTGACAATGCCTGACCTCATGTTCCCTCCTGATTAAGGCTCCATACCAGATATTGGATAGTGATAGTATCCTCACTGCATTTTATGGCTTTACAAGTTGAAGCTGAG